TTATCTTAAGGCATAATCAACACAATTGATAAACAATTGCAGCATGAGAAAGCGTAAGTGGAGACAGGATTTGGTGGTTTGTGTATTTCTCTGTCACAAGCAGGAGGGAGAAACTGAGGGTGCAGAGTGGCAAGTCTCTGCACCTACGAGATGGTGAAAGAAGGCTCAAGGACATGGAGGGGCCAATCAGCTCGCTGCAACACATTCTGTGCACATTCTCATGTAATAGTATAAGTACACTGGATCAGGGAGAGACAGTCAGTCAGACTTCGTGCCCTGACATTAACTTTGTTGGTGCTAGGGTGAGAAGTTTGATCCGGAGCTCTGTATGCTTATTCAACTATCTGATAAATAAATACACTGAGTGACACCTAAATATCTTCTCCTATTGCTTCATCAAACGAATGCACAGGAGCTATCTCACACATAGTGTAGTTTCTGGTAGATTGACATTCAGCTCCAACAATGGTTAACTATTCATTTTTTCAATTTGTGTCCATACATATCTGCTCTGTGGAAACACAACCTGCAGTTCAGCTGAAAATTCTCACAATTTAAATCATGTGACTGTGATTTTAACATGTGACGACAGAATCTGGTGCAAACACTTTGTTTTTGGCTACTTTTTAAATGAGCCACGAAGAACACAGGGATTTTGATGAAATATTAATTATAAGTATAGATTTGGTTAATTTTCTCGTACAGAATAAAGTGAGTAGTTCAAGAAACAGTCAGAAAGTTGAAAATCCAATGACTATTTCAGTTTTTACTGTTTCTGGCCCATACACAGTGTCATTTTGGTATTTTTTAAAACAATAACATGCCTTTAAAACCAACTGGTAGGCTTTGGGGTTCAGATTGTTACGATTGAAATTTTGACAGAACTAAAATGTTGATTTTGCCTAGACCAAATTAAAATCCTTCTCATATCATAATGAAATTGTAATCCTGCCTGGGTACATTTTAAATGTGCCTATGCAGAATTAAAATTTTGATTTTGTCTAGAACAAAGTGAAACCATCCTTCTAACAAATTGAGATCGTAAGCTTGCCTAGGAAGGTTTAAAATTTGACCTCAAATTAAAAATCTGAATTAAATCAGAATTATAAGATTTATTTCACCAGACGACAGAAGAAAAAAAGCGGACTTTTGGCGATTAAAAGTTCACAAAAGGAAAGAAAAGACCTTACCTCCACTCGGTGGATCCTCCAAAAGCGGTCCCAGCAGGTAAGCTCTTCTCGACGGTGTGTCCGTTGGAGGGGCTTCGTTAAGATGAACCAGAGAAAAACATCCAACTGCCACAAACGTCTCTTCTGCGCGAGCTGAGAGAGAAAAACAACAAATACGTTTATATTTATTGTTTTTTTTTGTTTTTTTTTTAAATAAACTGTATGTCTTTAGATAATGCAGCACTTTAAAAAATATATATATTTTAAATATATGTTCTAAATATTCATATAATGTGGGGAAAAAAAATCAATATGACAATATCCAGGATAATACTGGAAAATAATATTTCTACTGTTGTTATAGAAAAAGTTGCAATTTTTCCACAGAAAAAGGCCAGTAGTTAACCAGAAAGGATTCTTTTTTTTAAAAAAAAGAAAAGTTTATTTTAAATACTATTTTTTGACAAGCGTGGTACGATCAAATGATCAGCTCATCATCAAGCTCTGCAGAAGCCTGATAACGATCCTGATCATTTGAATCAGATGTGTTGGAAGAGGGACACATCTAAAACATGCAGGACTGTGGTCCTCGAGGACCAGGATTGGACACTCCTGTCATACATGAACAGCGGCAGAGCTGCCATTCAAGGCGCTTGCCTGCCATTGGGAGCAACTTCAGGTTCAGTGTCTTGCCCAAGGACACTTAGACTGTGGAGGGGTGGGGGATAGAAGCACCAACTTGCAATTAGAGGACAACTGCCCTATAGTCGCCCTTTTGCAGTAAACCATAAATTGTTAACATGACACTTGCCTGTCGTACCTCTTCCAGCACAGAGACAAATGTTGACATCAGTCTATCAAGGTTTAGTCTAAGCGTTCGGCTATTTAGGCACTCTAAGGCCTTGGTAGGCTCATTCAAGACAAGATAAGACCTCCTGTACACTCCAAGGCGTCAGGGTCGAGCAAGCCTGACGCGAGCAAGACTGAATGGAAGACAAACAATCAGATAAGAGAGCACACAGCTAATGTGTAGAATATGCAAGAATATTATAGTTAGTGTCTGAAGCAAAAACTTAGTAAAATATTTTCAATTTGCGTGAGGATGATAAAGACAAAAAACAACATTGTTTTAAGGAGTCAGTGATATGGGGCCAAAGGAAATCCGCCGACAACAGAACAAACGACGTCTATGTGGTTTAATAAACAGCTGCTTGATTCAGTTCACCAGAGTGAATTGTTCATTTAGAGACCATCCACTGCTGTGAGCGAGACTGCAGGTGGATTGACAAACTGACAGAATAGGAGGGTGGAGGGATCGGATCAGGAAGGAGAGAAAGAGGAGACAGTGCTTCAACAATCCAACAAGGTCAGATATAATCACTATTAGAATATGGAAAGAAAAGAAAAAAGAAATTAGAAATGTAAGAAAACTGATTCTTAAAATGGAAACATCAGTAACTGTCGGACAGTGATCAGTTTTACTAAGAAATATGTTTTTTATTTGCATAATTTACATACATGAAATTTTTGTGAGTATATATAAAAAATCATTTTGACAACTAAAGTTAAATATCTTCACATGATCAATATTCTGCTGTTAAACTGACAAGCTGTCTGACATCAATGGAGTTCAGGTGAGACTGATCTGTTTCAGTCTCAACATTTCACTTCAGGTTCATTCTGAGGTGCTTTTGCAGGCATAGAAAAGTGTGTGAAATAAAACCAAAAATTGGTAAATACAAGTAAGTGAGAATAATACAAATACTGCCAAAATTATTATAAATGAATGCATTAAAGCCATGTGTTGTGTAGTATGTGTGTCTGTACACAGAGGTCAGTGCTGGAATAAACAGATGATTTGCTTGAAAGTGGTTGGATTCCACTGGACACCCATTCCTGGAAATGGCACAAGTTACAGTGAAGTAACTTGTCACTGTCGAACATTATTATGCACATTCTGCTTTTGGCATGCCGTTTCATGCCACGTAGTCTGGATGAACAACACTCTTCCTTAACCCTAATCATAACAATTTAATGGGTCACATAATAAATGATAATAGCAAAATGTCAGTTTGCTCAAGACCTTAGTTTCAGCAAAGAGCTGTAGGAATCTGAGTGATCAGAGGATTTTCCTCAGGTTGCTGCTGACGTACCCCGGCCTCACATGGAGCCTCACTTCACTTGAAATAGAAAAGGCCTTTTTCCAGATGATCCAGGCCTGCACAGAATCAAACAGGCGTATTGCTTTTACTGTTGTTTAGTAAACTGATTTCATTTGAGAGTTCAGTTCAAAGTGAAAGTGTAAAAACACCATAAAGCTTTATGGTGGTGGCAACATCATTAAGTGGGGATGCTTCTTGGCAGCAGGTTCTGGAAGGTTTGTGATTGTCCAGACAAGCTCAATGCCATAATTACAGCCAAATGTACATCTACTAAATACTGACTTGAAGGGGGTGAGCCTTACATTTTATATTTTTATTAAATGGCATCACTTTGTACAGTCTTTTTTTGGATATTCTTGCAAAGAAAGCCAAACTTCCAAGGGGGTGAAAGCTTTTCACAGGCACTTTACATAATACTCAGAGCAGTGCAGACAGAGAGAGATAGGGTTCATCCTGTCTGAGCGGTGTTGGCTATGTTAATGTTCTGATAAACCAGCACAGTCAGTGTCAAGTGTAACGTAATTTAGATGAGCGCTTGGTTGACAATGAAAAAACTGTAAGAAGCAATACTGGAGGCCAAACAGTAATTTCCCCATAAACTGTTTAACTTGGAGAAAGGCAGCAGAATAGCTGGAAAATAGGGAAATAGCTGAACAGTTTTAAAACCCTTTAATATTTGCTCTGTATTGTCCTGCAGTGACAGATTAGAAAATTCATAGGGCCTCATTTTGATCAGTTTACTTTGGTACATTGTTTAAAGTTTTAAAGAAAGTGTTATGTCTTTCAACAGAGATGTCTTCTTCTCAAGTCAGACTGATGCTGCAGCCGAGTGCCAGGTGTTTGTTTGATGATCCTGTTCAGGTGAAGGTGACTGGACTGAGGTCGAAGCAGCTGGTCACCATGAAGGCCAGATCGACTGATGATAAAGGAGTGATGTTCAGCTCCTCAGCCACCTACAGGGCTGATGGGAGCGGGGAGATCCACCTGGACAGAGACCCCTCACTCAGTGGGAGCTATGTTGGGGTTGAACCCATGGGTCTGCTGTGGTCGATGAAACCGGACACTTTGCACAAACACTTTCAGAAGAGCAGGACACTAAACCCAGTGACTGTTACGTTCTCTGTGCATGAGGAGGGGGATGGCAAAATGCTGGCAGAGGTGACCAATGAGAGGCTTCTGATTGGAGACAAGATCAGCAGGGTCCCTGTCAAAGCGGGAAATGTGTGTGGAACCCTGTTTATTCCCATAGGTTAGTGGCTCTCTGCTTTCTGTAAGATTGTGCTTGCTGGGTATTTAAGGTTCACTATTTATTGCTATTTTTAGCTCCGCCAAGGAGGTTAGGTTTTAGCCGGTGTTTGTTTGTTTGTTTGTTTGTTTGTTTGTTTGTTTGCAAGATAACTCAAAAAGTTCTGAATGGATTTTCAGGAAATTTTTTAGGAAATGTTGATAATGGCACAATGAACAGATGATAAGTGGAGCTCCTCCTAAATGTGGTGTCAGAGAACAAAACAAGTAAAACAGCATCCATTTCTGTCACAGTAGCTAAACTGTAAACATGGTCACACACATGTGACGCTGATGACACTTTCGTCGCATACTGTGACGTCAAACTCCGTCTCTTCTTGTCTACATGCAAAGGTAAAGGCCGGAGTTTTCAGATATGACAGTTTTTGGTGACTTGTAGCTTCATTTATGTGTAAACCAAAGGCCCAAACGCACGGAAACATCACTGTTTTTGCTACGTGTAAACAGGGCCTAAGTGTAGCCCTGTGATAGCCTGTCGACCTGTCCAGGGTGTCCCCCGCCTTCGCCCTGAGTCGGCTAAAATAGGCTCCAGCCCCCCACGCAACCCTAGTGAGGATTAAGCGGTGTATAGATAATGGATAGATATCTGCTTGCCATGAAATTTTGAACCAAGAAAGACAAACACCAAGCAAGCATTAGCCACGCAGCCTCAAGCAGACCAGAGGTTGGAATGGACCAACAAGGTGTGAAGAGGCATGCTGGAGTAAATGCTAAACTGTTGCTTCAAAACATTGACAGAAGGGCGTCACTGTGTGAACGCTGGCAACATGACCTGGTGCTAAAGTCACCATCTGCTCCACCAGATCAACACGACAATCCGTACACTTCCTCTGATGCGGGAAAAAGCCCAAAGATCAAACCAGGATGATCACAGTTTGCATTGTTGGACTTTACATAACCAACTGATATTAACTTGTGTGTAATATTCTAGGAAGAGGTCCGTTTCCTGCCGTCCTGGATCTGAGCAGCAGTAGATCTGAGACAAGAGCCTGTCTGCTGGCCAACAAAGGGTTTGTGGTTCTCTCTATAACTTTGTACAATGACAAGCCTGCCAATGTCAAAGAAATACATCTGGACTATTTGGAAGAAGCAGTGGATTTCTTAAAACGACATTCTAAGGTGAGTTATGTGACAGGCTATTTTAAAATTGTTGTTTGGTTCACTTGAATTGTCCTAGTGTCATACCATTGTGTGTCCTCCTGTTTGCCTGGGTCTCATCGAGGCATTTATGTTCAAGTATACAGGTAAAAATTATTTTTAAAAAAATGTAAAAAAACAGGTAAAAAATTTTATCACCACTGATTTGCATGTTTTGTGTTTCTTTGCAGGTGGGCAGTAAAGGAATTGGTGTAATATCAAGATCAAAGGGAGGAGATATTGCTCTCTCACTTGCTGCTTTTGTGCCAGGTATTAAGGCTGTAGTGTGGATCAATGGCTGCAACGCCAACGTAGCTTTACCTCTCTACTACAAGAAACGCCAGATCCTCCCACCATTACTGTTAAATTTAACGAAGCTCATTCCCACTGAGTCAGGGGCCCTGAATGGCAAGTATGTTCTTGATAATCCACTGGCAGAAGAGAACAAGGACACCCTCATCCCCATTGAACGAGCCAAAGGCCATTTCCTCTTTGTGGCCTCAGAGGATGACTTCAACTGGGACAGCAAGGCTTACATGGACGCCATGATGGAGAGACTGAAGCGTCATGGGAAGGAGAACTTTGAGAGTGTGTCTTATCCTGGAGCTGGACACCTACTGGAACCACCTTATGGACCCCACTGCTACTCCTGCTCACATTACTGTATTAGTAAACCAGTCGTGTGGGGGGGTGAGGCCAGGGCCCACGCAGCAGCTGAAGTCCACCTGTGGAAAAAGATCCAGGAGTTCTTCACAACTCACCTGAGCTGTGATGATACACAGTTGAAATCCATGCTATAGATACAAATAGGTTTAATAAAATAAAATCATGACATAATGGCTGCCAGTCAACCTAGAATTATCTTCAGTTAATTGTTTTGTAATTTGATCATTTTCCAAGGCTCCGACAACCATTTACAAGCAATCAAGGTTTTCACAGGAGCTTCACGTCCCTGACCTCCAGCCGCTGGCCTCACCGACCCCCAAAACACTCATATTTATATTTATTGTTCTGCTTTATTACTGCTCTCCATCTGCTCCAGCTTGCAGCTTGGCAACACAGCGTCTGTGTTCGCCTGCAGGTGAATGTAGACGGCGCTAAAAATAACAGAGGCGCCATCTTGGGCTTTTTTTGTTCTGTTCTGTGATATTTTTAGAGAGAACTTGTCTGCGCACAATAAGCAGGACACTTTCAGGTAGAGATCGCGCTCAGGAAGTGATGCGCCAGTCGCACATGGCTGCTCACACCGCTCAGCACATGGTATAGTGCCCTCTTATGGGGACAACATGAATCAAACCAGATCATAAAGAATCAACTAAAGCGGCATCGTAACCAGACCTGCGTGGGAGGCGACCACTTGAGTGACCTGAGACCACACCTGGAGCCACAGCTGCTTCTGATCCTGATAAGCCGAACCAATAGAAGCACAGATTGTTACCCTCAAGAAGACCTGTAGGAGTTATCACAGTTTAGCACAGTTAAGGGTTTGGTTTGACATCTTATCCGTCTGAAACACTACTGCATGTCCAAATCCATAAAATCCAGAGTCCTTCTGCCCCAGACAGTTGATAAAGAGTAACCACCAGTTAATTGGCTCAGGCCTTGCTTGGTTGATTGTCTGTGTTTTTTTTTCATGTGTCTGTTTTTAATCTTTGTTTGTTCACAATAATAAATGTCTGATGTTGTGGCAAATAAAGGCTTTGCACTGATTAATGAAGAATAATATAATTATTTTTGGACATGGCCTTTTTTGTAAAAATGTAAATAAAAAAACATAGAAATACTCAAAATTCATCATTCACATCTCTAACACAGTGTCTTACTATCTTTAATCCCTTTTTTATATCATTTTCAGCCAGAAGTAACTCATTTGTTGCATAACAAAAAACATTGGAAATCAAAATCTATGAATAATAACTGTATATATGATGGGGTTGTTGGCTATGCAGCTTCTGTCCCATCTGATCAGCAAGTAGACATTCTGGAGGATTCAGTTGTAATCAATGATATCTGTGTGATGCGTCTGTTTCTGTGAAGTCATTATAGCCTTAATAGACCAACATGCAATGCAGCAGCAAAAATTATGAGTGTCACAGCTGCTGCCTGGCTCATGTTGCCATCTGGTGGCCACATCGAGCCACGACAGGCTCGTGAAAGACGCTGGAACTCCTGCAACGTATTGCATCCATGAGCAGAAGTATGTGGACAGCAAACCCAGGAGCTTTAATCTCCATTTATTCAGACACAAGCACACCAGTGAGGTCCAACAGTGTTCGCATTAATCCCAAAAATGTTGGACTGGAAAATATTTGGTGCTGGACAGAGTTGTATCATGTATATCTACTGTACACCCAACAAACACCTTATTAGAAATGTACCGGTTCAGTTTTAAGTTCTTAATATTTTGCATGTTGACTGAGCGAACACTGCAGTGCAATGTCACCGTCCATTAGAAAAATACAGCAGAATCATCACTTTTCTGAAAACATCACCTAAAGGCAACAGACTGATCTTTAACGTAGGTTTTGTGGCTGAGCTGCTGTATTGGATGGCATTATACCGCACAGATGTTCCTAATGAAGGGAGTGTAGTATGTAGGTGACTCCAAATAGGCTGCAGTTTAGATTCTTTTAATCCTGTGGCACACTTTGTGGATAAACATGCTCTCACTGCAGCTCTTAATGAATGGTTTGATGTTTCAGGAAAAACGCACGCCACAGTTTAGTTTAGTTTAGTATTTTTAAATGCACTGGTCATTTATGAGATTTTGGGATATTTTGCTTCTGTAACATGTTAATGGTGGAAACAAAACAAGCAAAAAACACATTTATGTGTTTTTCTTTCTCCAAGCAAATGATTTCCAATGAGGCACTGCCTTCTTTGCATTTTCAAACCTAAAAATTCTGAAAACATGTCATACAATTGGAACTATTAACTGGAGACATTTCATGGTGACATCTGTTGATTACAACTGTTTCCTGTAAATGGCATTTTCCAATAAAAAATAAATTAAAAAATGTGTGGAAATGTACAATATAAAGGCCAGGTCTTATTCCTGTCTAAATTCAGAAGGTTTTAACAGAGTGGTTTGTTCATATGTCAATCATAGCCTCTTTCTGCATCATTTTATTCCTTAAAACATGCCGAAAATGAGTTTTCTGACTATCCATCCATCCATTAACTATACACCGCTTAATCCTCACTGGGGTCATGGGGAGCTGGAGTCTATCCCAGCTGACTCAGGGCGAAGGCAGGTTCACCTGGACAGGTAACCAGTCTATCACAGGGCTACACTTAGAGACAGACAACCAAGCACACTCACATTCACACCTACGGACAATTTAGAATCCCCAATTAATCTCAACATGTTTTTGGACTGTGGGAGGAAGCCGGAGAACCCGGAGAGAACCCACGCTGCACGGGGAGAACATGCAAACTCCAGAAAAGATCCCGACGTGAACCAGCGACCTTCTTGCTGCGAGGCAACGGTGCTAACCACCGCTCCACCTGGCAGCCCTTTCTCTGACTAGTGATGGGATATTCTAATTTATGGAGGGAAAACCTTTGATGTCAACGAAATGAGGCAGGAATTTTGCAGCTTGCTCTTCACTGTAGATGTTGACACTGGTGTTTTGCGGGTACTATTTAATGAAGATGCCAGTTGGGGACCTGTGAGGCGTCTGTTTCTCAAACTAGAGACTCTAATGTACTTATCTTCTTGCTCAGTTGTGCAACGCGGCCTCCCACTTCTTTTTCTACTCTGGTTAGAGCCTGTTTGTGCTGTCCTCTGAAGGGAGCAGTACACACCGTTGTAGGAAATCTTCAATTTCTTAGCAATTTCTCGCATGGAATAGCCTTCATTTCTAAGAACAAGAATAGACTGTCGAGTTTCAGATGAAAGTTCTCTTTTTATGGCCATTTTGAGCGATTAATTGACCCCACAAATGTGATGCTCCAGAAACTCAATCTGCTCAAAGGAAGGTCAGTTTTGTAGCTTCTGTAACGAGCTAAACTGTTTTCAGATGTGTGAACATGATTGCACAAGGGTTTTCTAATCATCAATTAGCCTTCTGAGCCAATGAGCAAACACATTGTACCACTAGAACACTGGAGTGATAGTTGCTGGAAATGGGCCTCTATACACCTATGAACTGTATTGCACCAAAAACCAGACATTTGCAGCTAGAATAGTCATTTACCACATTAGCAATGTATAGAGTGTATTTCTTTAAAGTTAAGACTAGTTTAAAGTTATCTTCATTGAAAAGTACAGTGCTTTTCCTTCAAAAATAAGGAAATTTCAATGTGACCCCAAACTTTTGAACGGTAGTGTACATACATCTTAATTTCAGTTCTTTAATGTACCAGGTGCAGCAAAGGACACAAAAGGACTCGTTACCTGAGTTGAGCATTATTGTGATTTAATTCACTATGTCTTATATCACAAAGAAAGTCTTAAAAATGCAGACTAGAATTTCTGTATATAAACTGTACACAAAAAGCAAGGCACTATACATTCAGATTCATCAAGCTGCTGTTTCTCTTCTCATCAAAGTTGAACCCTTAAATTACAAATCTCCTCCTCAGGCGCTCGGTGGGTCGGAGTCACTTCAGCAGTTCAGCGCAGTCGAGCAACACGAGTTTCCTACGAGGCCTGACGGCATCCAGACACTCAACGACATCTGACACGACAGGATTTGTTTTTTTGTTTTTTTTTACATAGATACAAAGTCACAAACGCACCTACGCACACATTTCCACAAATGAACGTTACGCGCACGTACAAACATTATATACACAACCACAGCATGGCACCCCGACATCGTGTGTTTTCTTCCCCCCCGAGTCCATGAGCGGCGACTTTAGAAGAGATTTCAGACACACAGACACCACGTATGAACCAAAGCGAGGTGTTTTTACCTGCTGTTAAACCGCTTGAATTTAATTTTGTTAAGTAATGACAAAGTTGAGAAGTAAAACATGACTATAAAGCGAGGCGAGTGCAGCTCCGGTTTCATCCTTCGACGTGGTTTTTCTTAAGATTCAGGTACACGACGGGTTCGTCTGTGACCTCGTCCTGCTTCTCACTGTCCACCTTTAACCGCTTCACGTGCCGTCTTCTGTTAAAACAGTCCTTTGGCCTTCTTTAAGTTCACTTGCTTCCACCCTGGCAGACGTTCGTATTCCTCTCTCTTCATTTCCAAAGCTTTCTGCAGATGGAAGAAGAGACGCACTCGGTTCAGAAAACAACACAGGAAGTTCTAAATTCAGGTATAAAGAAAAGTGTTGGTGTCTTCCTGCCACTGTTACTGATTCTTAGCTAAATTTGTAAAAAAGAAACGGACTGAATGACACAAGAAATGCAGCTTTATGATCTGAAGGGAAGTGCAGTTTTTCAATTACAGTAAAAGTTGCTGATTTGAATTCACCGGGATGCGTCCATGGAGATGCACACTGAAAGTTTAATTTTTCATCCGTCCTTCTTATTTATTATTGTCTCATTTTCAATAAATCGCCTACAGCAAATCCTGTGTGGGCTGCTATGTATCTGTCATATCTCACCAAATTACTTGAAATTCAGAAGAGGTTTTTTTTTTGTAGAAAGACTTCACACCTTTACAGATGAGATTCATCGTTATCTCTCTGCAGATCAGTAAATTCCTATCAAACTTATTTAAATCCAAAAACATGAACTCCGGCTACATTCCTTTTCTTAAATAACCTTCATTTAATTCAACTTACTTTACCTTCATACTTGAAAACAATTATCTTTAAATTTAGAGGTCCTCAAGTACAGAATTCAATGAATAGTTTATGTTCTTTATAAAAATTCTTGTTTAACCTTGAACTTTACGGCACGCTGCTTCACTGAACAGTTCTGATTTACTCACTCTACATTTGTTTGTCTTCTATGTTTTTGTTTCACTTGTTTTACTCATTTTTGTTCGAGGGCGAGGCTCTGAATAAGCTCGTCAGGCTTTCTTTTTCTCCTGCACTGCAACAGCCATTGGGTAATTTCTTCTACTTTATTCATTAGATTTTTTTTTTTTTTCCTGGGAAAATACATAAAAGTAAAAGACTAAACTAAGTTTTATTTCATTGGATGGAACACTGACTGTAAAATCACCATAAAAAAGGTCAGAGGACTGAAGCTTACACTCATCAAGCATCGTACCAATACAGACTCTGCTTCACGTTGATCATAGTATCACTAGCTCTGCAAATCACAAAGCGGATTCAGATCTGGTCCACTGAACTCATGGAACCAGTCTGAGACCACTTGTGGCTCATGACATCTTGCCGACGTCTGCTATCTGCTGCTTTGTGTGTCGTTACTGAGAACAGATTCTGTCCAGTGAGGTTGTTTTCATGCCTTCATTTTGTGCTCCACAGACAGACGGTGAGTCAGACTGCAGTGTAGCTGCTGGTGAATCACTGAAATGCTTTTTATTTGCACTCAGTGGGAAAAAAAGAGTCTCAGGTGGAGGGAGCTTGTGCGCAAAGAGGAAGAGCTGCAGCAGCAGAGAAGTGATGCAGGAGTGCGATGAGGTCGGAGAGATGAACCGCAGCTGCACAAATACATCTGTAGAGATCTGCCAAAACGGCTCATTTATGAGCCCATTCCTGCCAGGAAAAAATGGGACGTTTTGACACAATATGGGTGCGGCTAATGATTAATGATTATTCTGCTGAAATATTACAAATATAATTGCTTCATTGCTTTGTCTAAAAATGCTCATAAGTAGTGAAAAATTTATCTCAGAAACCAAGAGTAAATAACACAAACCTAAAGGCGACCAAACAAATAGAAATTCAGATTTGAGATATCACGTCAAACTTCCAATACATTAAAACACCTCCTGTACACAAATACATACTTAACTTCTCATCTTTTTTTCCTGCAGGAATAGGATCCAAATTTAGATCACGTGTCAAATTTAGATCACGTGTCACTTTCTATTTGCTATCTGCTAAGTGAAGGAGTCCTTCGTGACTGCAGCTCATAAAAAAAAAAAAAAAAACTGTCTAACAAAGTTCAGGATGATGCTTTCAGACGTAAGTGTGCAGCCGAGCGCACTGCAGCATCACGGTCCATATAAAGAAGGAAAACACAGTGCTGACGTGCTTGAGAGAAGAACAGCTCCTCAGTGCCGATGAATCACGCTTGTCTTACCTGAATCCACCTACAAGTTGGTCTGAAAAGTGAGAGTTAGATGGAGTTAGAGGAGTTACATGCCTGAGGGTGGGCAGTAGTATAGTCACATCCCAGATTTAAAGGGAGAATCCATCTCTGATTTGTCCAACATTTGATATCGTCAACACGCTGCTGTCATGGGAAATCAATATTCGCACTCTGAGGTTTTCGATAAACTCAGCTCCTGGAAGCATCTTGATCAGTTAGTATCTGTGAACTACTTAAATGTGCACACTTTATAGTCCATTGTTGTGTTTGTAACAATGCTAAGCTATACTAGGCTAAATTATTTTCCTATAAAGATGTTAACAAGACATTTGAAATGCAAACTTCTTCCTCTTTAAACTCTAATTTGAGTTGATAATATAGATCTTAAATTTGCTCATAATAAGTCAAATTTTACACATCAAAACCCAACAAATAAGCCAATATTTCTGTAAGACGTGATGTGAAAGTTGGTTAAAATCTTCAGATCTTTTCAACAAAACAAAAAAACGTTTTTAAATAATTTAATAGTCTGGTCCTATTTATGTTGAACTTGTCTAAAACTACAGTAAGACAGTAAAAAACCCATCAAGGTCTGTGCAGCTGTTTTTGTTGCTGACCTCGAAGTCCTGGTCGGACAGGTAGATCTCCAGGCGCAGCGGGTCGACTCCCTCTGGAAGTGGCCGGGCCTGAAGCTGAGCCAGAGGGAAGGTGTTCTGACAGAGTCGGGCCAGCACGTCCTCCACCAGGATGATCTGGTTACACACCTCAGCCTCCTGCAGGGAGAGGAAAATACAGTATGTATATATCAATGACATTTTTCTGTATTTCCAAGCTTTATATGAAGACTTTGTGAGTATATGTAGAAAAGGAGGAAGATCAGGTTTGCGTTGCTGTTGTGTCACGCATTTTATTTTACTGTTTAAGCCTCTGAACCCACAAAACCAGCTGCTATCTTACAAAAAAAAGCTAAACAACAATATTTATCAGAAAGCATTGATGGATGCATTGTCAACTTTCCAATGGTCCTTGAAATAATCATCTGTTTTGTTTGAAAAATGAAGCAAATTTAGGATCAACACTGTGACTTTTCATCAACATCATGTTTTTTCTACATATATCTTTTAAACATTCAACAACAATGAGCTCCTCAGCACAAAGGAAAAGCTATGAGGGGCTCAGCTGACCAACAGTCACATGATAAAGCTTCAGAGACTTCTCAGCTGAACTGCAGCATAGAGGAGATGAGAAAAAAGTTAAAATGTAAGTAGTAAAATATTGGTATTATGTAGTTATGTTATGTCACTGTTCTTTTTTTCAGACACTCATGTGGGAACTCGGAAGAATGTTGTCCATTTGGATTCCATGTTTTTTGTAAAATCTTTTTTTCCTCTTCTTTTAAATGTATTTATTTATATTTTTATTAAAGATTTATGGCATTATAACTGTATCATACTGCACTGAGGACATTTTTGAGTTTTCTGTACTTCTATCCAAGATTGTTCTGGACTTTATATTGCAGTGAAAAATGAGCCCACAGTGAATAAAAATGTGCCTGAATCAGAAAATGCTCCTGACTGCTCACTGATACGTTTGAGCGTATATTTGAGTAATGCAGTGCTGCTGACCCTCTCTGTGATCTCAGCCACGTCCTCTCTGTGCTCCCAGCTGGGAAACATGTTGGTGAAGGTGAGTGGCTCCAGACCGGCATGGATCAGGTACGACTTCTGAGGCTTCTTCTCGTTCTTCTCTGCAGGGAGAATAATTACGATTTAAAGCTGAGAGCAAACTGAAAATACTAGCATCTAATTTCAACAGGCTTGACTACAAATAAGGGATTGAGCATCTTTTTTTCACTTATTCTCATCATGTGAATTTAACATTTCTTAATCCATCCATTATCTATACACTGCTTAATCCTCACTAGGGTGGTGGGGGGCTGGAGTCTATTCCAGCTGACTCAGGGTGAAGGCAGGGTCACCTGGACAGGTAACCAGTCTATCACAGGGCTACACTTAGAGACAGACAACCAAGCACACTCACATTCACACCTACAGACAATTTAGAATCACCAATTAACCTCAACATGTTTTTGGACTGTGGGAGGAAGCCGGTGAGAACCCACGCTGCACGGGGAGAACATGCAAACTCCACGCAGAAAGATCCCGGTGCCCCCACCGGGACGTGAACCGGCGACCTTCTTGCTGTGAGGCAACAGTGCTACCAACTGTGTCACCTTGCAGCCCAGATTTTTTAATATCTCAGGAAAATAGTTTACATTAATTAGTTAATTGTCCTAACCGAACATCCTACTATCAGTCTGACAATATAAGAACACAATAACATGGACTTTCAGAATGTCAGGCTATGATTGGTAACGATACACTGATGCATTCTGGGACAAATGTCCCTAAGACACTGCTCTCTGGTTAGCAGGAAGTTTTCATTGATTCTAGTCACATATTTCTACACAAAGAAGATGTTCTGCACTGTGTTCTGTTTCTTCAGAACTATCCAAACAACCGAATTAAAATGTTAATGCAGCTATTGCTGGTCGTTCTCCTTCTCCTCACCTTTGCAGTACTGCAGCACTGTCTCCATCGCACACTTCCTGTCGGCGTCCCAGCGGATACGAGCCGAGCCGGTGCTCTCGCTGTCCTGAGGCCACCAGCCCTGCCACAGGTAGACCTCATGGAAGTTATCCACCAGGAACAAAGCTGTGCAGCAGAGAGAGAGAGAGAGAGAGAAACTATTTTAAACAGAAGAGAAAGCACATGTGTGAAATCTGTCCCTGCATTTCGATTTGTGTATTTCACATATAGTTTGGAGGGCTATTGTCTCTTAAATGATCCACAGAGTCTGTCTGAGTGACTACAAATACAGAAGGTACTTTTTATTTAGCTATAATGGCTTCACTGGTTCATGTTTCTTCCTTGAGTTGCAGCAGTCAGGTTGTTGAGGTCTTTAAATTGCTGTAGTTTTGCTTCCTGTTATATATTTTTTTAAAAATCCCAGTTCTTGTCTGTCTCGAGTTATTTTACTTCCTGCCTTTGTGTGTTTCCTTCCTTTTTTGATTGCCCTCATCAGTTTCAGTGTCTTGTACCATCAACGCTGAGGGGAAAAGAAAAATGAACATTTTTGTAAGAGACTAGAACTAGAGTCAGTATGATGCTTATTTCAGACTTCAGCTGAAAAATAATAACTACAACTCTGTGGCTACTGATCGACTGTCGCATATGTTATTCTGGACGACACGAGGAAATTAAATGGAAAGAGGAAAAGAAAAGAAAAACCTTTTAGGTTAAGACACAGTTGCAGCATCTTTTTTTTCAGATTGCATGTGCAATATTTAGTATTTAGTGAATAAACCGGGGAGCTGCTCCTGGTCGTGTCTGTTTCTGCATGTATTTTGCATCGACATTTAAGAATCCTCAGTGCTGTTGCATTCATGCTGTTTATGCAACAGATCAGCTGCTCATTTTACACCTGACTGTAGCAGAATTTGCACAGAAGAAGTGTTGCATAAGACACACCTGTGTTTTCTCACTCAAAGCTCCTCCGGTGAGGCTGGAAGGAATTAAAAGTGTTAGTATCTGGGCCTCACCAGGCTGTGGAGCATTGTACAGTTCTTCCTGCAGGAAGGGCAGCGAGCTGACCAGGTCTGGAGCTCTGGACGGGTGGAAGAACTCAGTCGCCACAAAATCTCCAGATGTGCTGCTCAGCTGGAAGAGCCGCGGGGTGAAGTTGAATTTACCTGGATCTGATGGCATAAAACAAAACAATCAAATGACGATGAAACTTATGTCTTGGTTTTGCCGACTTATTTGTTGTTCACAAATCGCCAGATTTTTGAGAACTTTTGCTATTACTTTTACACAAATTGTTTTTTGCCCTCTATTGTTTACCCTCTGAACTCCAAAACTCATTTATCAGACTCACTGGACATTCACTGGACATGCTCGTTTTTTTGAAGTATGCTCTGGAATTGGAGATATTTTGGCCTAAACTTTGGGTATTTTAACAGTTTTCACTACTGGTGAGAGCGGAGGACTTGGCTGACATGATTTGTGTGATAGGAACTAGTCGTAGGAGAATGAAACGTTGACAATAAATTGTCCTTGGGTAGGATAACATTCACTGAAAATATGAAAAGATTTGGTTGAAATATTATAGCAGTAGAGCTTTATACTTTTGACTAATTTTTTTGGCGATTTTTGGTCATTTTTGTAAAAAAAAACAAAAAAAACAAGGGGGTGACCAACTCCCCCTGATTTTGACCAAATTTCCTTAAACTTAGACTGAAGTAGTTTTGTCTGTCTGCTCCTATCATGGATGCACTCTTAAGTGTCAAAAATAACTGTACTAGCTGTTTCTAAGGGAAGCATTATGCATGTCCCAAACAGGCAGTAAATGAACAGTGCAGTGTGACTTTACCTTGCAGCATGCAGTCGTAGGCCTTCCTATCTTTTCTCCCCAGAGCCTCCCAGAAGCCCGGAGGCTCGACTCCCTCATCACACTCATGGATGGTCACTTTGCTGCTGCTGTGGAGGCCTGCTTCCAGAGGACACCTGAAAGCAGCAAAAAAAATGGAAACTGAATTCAACACACACAGCCAGAACATGTGAAGTTTGAACGCTGCAATACCTACAACCGGCCAGAGTTCCCTCCTTATGAAAACTCACTGTTCTTTGATCTTCAGTGCGGCCGTGTTTCCGACGCTGCGAGTGTGAAGCTGCGTCTTGCAGCCGTGCCACAGGTACATGACGGCCTTGTTGATGTTGAGCAGGATCATGGAGGCTCTGGAGCGCAGGCTGCTGCAGTGACAGGCCACCTCCAGCAGGTGGCCCTCCACCGGCACCTCGCCACGCACACAGTACAGACGCCACTCACCTAGAAACAGAAGAGCAGGTGAAGGCTGTGAGTGGAGTGATGGGAAATGTTTCATAAGTCAATCTGCATTGCAAAAAAGTTAATTACAACAGATGCTAATAAGAAATAATATAATAATCATGTAAAACTGATCATTTGTGTCATTTACTTTAAAGGTAAAGACAAAATTTGATTAAATTGTGATCATTTGTTTCTAAAAATGTCTTTAAATCCTATTTTCTTATTGTCAAAATAAAACAAAATCAGCTCAGAACTAAGAAGCATGAAATGCCACTTAAAATATTTTGATACACAGGCAAAACCATTACTTTTTTTTTTTTTTCTTTAAATAGCGTGCTGCAAGCATATCTCCAACAACTGGCTTTATTAGGGCATTAGGAAGCTGCTGTGCATTATACACAAAGATGTCAAGGACCACACTTGGAAATCCTGAGTGAAAATGGATAAATAGCTAAAACAAAGTGCAGAAATGTGTTTACTCTGAGTGTTCTCCTCTTCCTCCTCCCTCTTGCCAGCGTGGACGATCATCCCTCCGTTGAAGCACTGCAGGAAACATGGCGGCTCCTTTCCCTGCTGCACCTGGACCTGAAACACACAGGAGTCTAAGTCAGTGGGATATTTCTGTGACATATTCTCTCTGACACTGGTTACTAAAAATAAAATATGTTGCTAAGGTGAAGAAAAACTGCTTTAATGATACTCTGCAGCCTTTTGTGTTCTCTGATTGTAATCAAGCCTCGTCTCTCATACCTGTGCTCCTCTCTCCTCGTCCAGCTCCACCGTCATCAGTGCCGACGTTCCCTTCTCGCTAACGGTGGAGTGCCGACCCTGCCAGAAGAAATAGCAGCACTTCTCCTTCCCCGGCCCGGTGCTTCTCGCCTCAGGGTTCTGCCTGCGACCAACTGGAACACACAACAAAAAACCAACCCACTACTCTGAATTATCAGTACTTTTAAAATCATTAAGTATGAACACTCCTTGTATATACTTTTTACTATTTAATCTGGTTTGAAGAAGACACATTTTAGTTGTGTATACATCTCTACATGTGACTTCCCTGCCGGTTCAGTGGGCTCACATGTAAAGTGTGACTTGTCCACAGTGACTGACCTGAAGTGCTGACCATGTACTTCCACTTGACCACGTAGGCGTCTCCCTCATGGAACTGCCCGATGCTCTGGCGTGGCAGACGGCTGTAGTCAAACTCCAGAATGTGCCAAACGTCCACGGACACTGTGCTCATCTCTTGAGTCCTCATGTGGTCTTCTGTCTCCACTGGGCCGTAGCCACGACCGACGTTCACCCCATCCAGAATGGTGGCGATGGACGACTGGAGGACAGGCAGCATCAAGGTGGCGTCGTACGGCCGACACTCTCGTCCCGGAGCCTCCTGGGAGACAGATTACAAAAAGGATTTATCATAAAAGTAAATGAGGCACTTTGATGCACTAATGCTTCTCTATGATGCTTCACACCCAAAGGCATACGCTCTCTAATTCTAGTTTTGGTCCCAGTGTGTAACAAACTGTTCCTGGCAACATTAACTGAGACTGAGTGTGGCGGTCCAACAAATAAACAGATGGGGAGATAAAAAAGACATATGAAGCCTCTGTGATGGGTGTGACCTGCATAATTAATTCATGCATTCTCACAAAACAAGAGCTGCATTCGCACCTTCAGCTCAGGTACAAGCTCGCCACCTTCCTTTGGTGTCGGCGACTTTGCTTCAGTCCAGTCCACAAACTTCTCCTTGAACAGGATCGTCTCGTTGTGCTCGGTCAGCCGGCCGAATATGGCCCAGTCAGGACGGCCCTGGCCTTTCCTGTAGGGGGGAAACAAGTGAAAGATAGAAACTGAGGATGTTTCCTCTGGTTAGCGTACAGCCGTGAGGGAGTGAATATAATGAATGACCTCACACGTCAAACAAAAACCAGATTGTGTATTCTCGCCTGGGTATGAGTGTGTTGCAGCCTCCGGGGTCCAGCGGGTTGATGTCACAGCAGGTGTAGTCAAACGTCCCGTTCCACAGGTGTTTGGCGAGCTGAAAGGCCACCTTCCTTTGGGGCAGAGTCACCTCTTTACCGTGCCAAACATACACCTCGCTGCCAAAGTCAAACACCAACACCTGCAGCATACGCAGCACAACACAAACAGTCCGGTTAAATAACGCTGTGCAGCTGTTTTGTGTGTAATTAAAGCCACACAAGCTGCATAATGGAAAAACTTAACCAACAGCACGTCTTGTTGAGTTCTAAAGCAAAACCCATCGATACTACATTAACTACCGTGTGGAGTTAAAGAAACAAAATTAAGTTTACAAAAGCAATGAGCAGACCAGACACGCTGATAAATTAACTTTATCCAGATGCAGCTTGCATATAGCAGCTTGTATTTTATATTTACCACAACATGGAGAGAGACTTTAAACAAATCAAGTAATTTCAACAGAGAGAAGTGACATTCATTTTTATATTGAAAATAAGCAGCGTGACTGCAGTGTGCTTTTTGGTCTTCACCCCAGAGTCCTGAACCTAATTCATTTTTCAGCAGCAGCAGTGCACAGATGGACGTAGGAGGTGCTCATCACGGCACCTGCTGTTGCTAAGCAACAAATTAAAACCAGCTCGAGGCACAGAGGACCCTGTGAAAAAAAAAAAAAAGACCTAAAGTGTTTTTTATATTCAGAGCTTGGTGGCTTAAATGAAAAATCCACTGTCAGATGCTCTTTTTAGTGATTACTATAAATGTTGTAATACAACGACAAGTTGCTGTTTTGCGTTCTGGTTATATGGGGCTGCAGAAAAGCTTCTTCATGTGCAACCAAACGCTCCTGATGAAATATCAAAGCAAATATGAAAAGGATATAAAGCGCCGTATATGCAGAGACATGAGCCTTTTTCAGACATGGGATGTGTAACACTGTTGGCTTTATTCTGTAGCTGACATAGGTTTGTTTTCTATTATTATTCCTGACAGTGATGGTCGTATGTGCAAGATTGGACCTGAAGTTGCAGTTAGCTACGGATAAAAAAATGACTAAACCTAATAGCAAGCTTATCAACATGGAGGACAGGCTCAGTCAGGATCTAACAGTAAACGACGTGACACATAGAGGCACAGTTTAATAGGTACAGTTACTTGTTAGATCGTCGTGGTCCTTGGATTGAATAATGAGCTCCATCAGTGCTGTCAAGGTATTGTTTTACTGTAAAAGCTGATCTGTTTACTAAAGTCAAAATATGTGACTTAACATTGTTAACAAGATAGCCACTGTGGTCTGTGGTTTTGGTTAGTTTTAATTCATGTTTTATTTTGACATCCTTGTGTGTCACTTGTGTTTTCACTTTCTCCCTTTGTGTGTTCTCCCTCCTTTTTTGATTATCCCATTATATTCACCTGTGTCTTGTCTCCCCAATCACCGCTCAGTGTATATATGTAGTCCTGCCTCCTTTCCTCTCCTTTGCCAGTTTGTCCTGTTTGCATGCCTTATGTTCACCTCTCTCTTATCTCTCTGGTTCTTTTGTGTTCCACATCTGATTCTGGTCTGTGCTTTTAGTTTTTTGAATCCTGTTTTGTCTCCCGGCTCCCCTGCCTGTCTGTCACCTGCTTTCCCCACCAGCTTACCATGTCCTTCTTTAAAGGAAATTCTCCTTTTTTATATATATATACTACCACAGCCTGTCTGTCTTGTGTCTGCACTTGGGTCCTTTTCCTGATAACCCCAAGACAACATCTAGATTTCAGTCTCACTGAGCTATACTTGAACTAGTGGCCTGCTTAACCAAAACCATGTGGCTCATCAATCCGCTAATGCAACAGCATGCAGCTCAGACTTGTGCCATGTTAGAAATGATATGTAAATGTTGCTCGGTCCAAAGACAAGTGACCATGGTGCTCATTTAAACGTTCAGATGCCTTTAGATGAATGGAGAAGGGTTTAAAAGGGATTAAAAAGTCAAATTCACCTCCTTGGATGCCAGCAGGGAGCTGCGAGGGACCTTCCCCCACTCGTCATCATCAGGAACCAGTTTATCATCCAGCAGCCTGAAGATGCAGTTGGTTTCCACGATGGCATTCTCAAACTGCTCATCCTCCTCGGGTGGACCCGTTGCTACATTACAGTTAGACACAATAATATAACATAATGAGCTATATGTCAACATGAGTGGTATGAAACCACTGAGAGAAAACACAGTCAGTGTCTGCACTGTTGAAAACGGGTTTTCAGATGTGCAGTCTTACGTTGGTAAGCCATCTGTCCACCCAGGACTGTCCAGAACTGCTGGGTGTCTGGACCCTGTGGGTTCACTCCTTCCTCGATGGTCTGCACCTCGTTTGCCCTGCAGCCCATGTCCTTCTTTGTCTGGATGAAGGTGGCCAAATCTATTGCCTACAGACAAGAAACAAAAAACTATTTGTCAGCTTTAATGGTGGCAGTAGTATCAAGAGCTCAGCTTGTCATATTCTCATAGTGAGGTTTATATAAACAACAAGAAGATTAGACTTTTTGTCATTTTTCAGGAACAGTGAAATTACCTCTAAAGCTAATTTGGTGAGAAGGTGCATCTTAACTATTGAGTCACACACTGAAGACAAAACTAAGTTACTGTAAAGCTGACTGATACTGAGCTTTCTGTGCATAAAATCATAATAAAAATGAGTATATAGCGGCGAACAAGGAGGCGGAGTAGAAAAACAAATGTTTATTAGAAAGTGTCTAGACAGACCTCCGTTGGGGAAATGGAAGAGGCGGAAAGCATGTGTCTGATGAGGAGCACAGATGGGTATATGTGCCCGTGTGTGCAGAGAATGAAAATGAGAATCATCAATGAATCATCTTTGTTCGAACAATAATATTGCAGCAGCAGCAGCAGCAGCAGCAGCAGCAGCAGCAGCAGCGTCGAACACACCAGATAGAGTGATAATACTCACCTTAGCTTTCTCAATGACGTTTGAAAACTCGCCAATCCACACAAAGCAGTGCTCTGGAGTGACCAGCAGGAAACAGTCTCCGCTGTTCAGAGAGGACGCTCTTGGCTCCACTAATCTGGTCTGGACATGGCGACGACCTGCAAGAAGTAAAATGACCTTTAATAATCTGCAATCTATCTTCTGCCTGATTCATACCTTCTTAAATTAATATTTTCTGGGAGACGTGCTTATTTGTGGAATAAATTAAAAGATCCAAATATCTCACATTTAACTGATAGATTAGCTCAGTTGATCTTAATACAATAACTGGAAACAAGAGGAGACAGTTGGCCTGAAGGTAACAAAACCCCACCAAGTTAATCCTTTTTGTTTAATCCATACATAAAGCTGAAGTGTAAAAACATCAAATTGCAGCTTTTTTGGACAGTTATGGGTCAGACTATTTCTTGGCTGGAAGCAGTAATTTCTTTAAATCGCCACTGGTTGCCTGGCAACTGCTCCTAGTCAGGAAACAGTCCCTAAATATAGAGCTATTTCTTTATATTGTATAGCTCTATGCACCTGTCGCTAAAGAAAATATTAAATTAATGCAGTTTAATTATAAATAGATTCTGGTTGGTGTGATTCCAGGGTTTAATTAGATGTTAAACTTTGAAACTAAAGAAAGTGGCAGGAAATGGCTTCAGAAGATGTCGGGCAGGTGAAATCAACCACGCAGTATATCTCAGGAAACGAGTTTTCACCTTTGATCTGCATCAGCATGAGGTTCTTGTACGGCACGGCGCTGTTGTTGGACATCTGCTCTGAGATGTTGACACTGCGCAGACTCACGCTGCTGAAGTTTTCTTTACTGGCCAGACCTGCCAGAGCAGCCTCGGAGTACTCAGAAGTTTTATTTACTGGAATTAGAAAGATTACACCACTTTATAAAAACACAGACCTACAGGGCGGGAGGAAAATAGCATAAATGCTTCATTAAACTTTAAAATAACAAGATCCCTACAGGAAACACTGCTACAAAAGTGGGTCAGATGAGGCGGCATGCTAATTTGTACTGTTTACGCAGTAAACAAAGAGGCTACAAATGTTTTGAGTGTTTCCAGTTGGGTTTTTTGACTACAGACAACATGACAGGGACAGGAGGTGTTCCTAAACACACAGATCCATAAACTCACCCTTTTCAGCCTTCATCCTTTTGCTCTCCACCTGGGCCACATTCAGCCTCTGCTCTGTGTACTCGTGTCTGATATCCTCTCTGGCTGCCAGCATCTTCAGAGGGTTTTTGGATGACTGAACATTCCTGGATGGACGAACTGACCGCTTGTGCTGCACCATGGCTGAAGTCAGCCTGGGAAGGAAGGAAAACAGGCGTATGAGCATGATGAAAAGTACAGAAATAGGGATCAAGAGGCTCACTGTTGCCTGCTGCAATAATACAAAGCTTTTAGTATTTCCTTACTTGGGACCCTGAGAACCGAAGATGGTGTCAAAGTCTTCACTGATCTCGATCCTGGTGGGCATACGTGGAAATTCTGCAACACGTCTGTAGAACTTGGAGAAGATTTCATCATCCAGCTTCATCACTTCCTTCACTGCCTTCTCAGTCACTGTTATGGTGGTTTCCTGCAAACCTGCCACTGAATAAGAAGTTACAAAACAGAGATAAAATTAGGCTTCAGTACAATTAGAAAAAATATACACAAAATGGTCTCCAGCATGATGAGAACATCTTTAAAGTCTTTTAAATATGTGCTTTAGATGTGAAAAAAGGGCTCCTGCATGCTCATTTAACTCTTCACAATAAATAAAACCTTTAATTTTACAGATTTTTTGAAGATTACCGCAGGTTAAGATGACAAAGCATGCAGGCTGCAAAATGCTGCAGAGTTGGGTGTGGATTTTATTGGGACTGGCACTAATATCCATGCTATCCCACTTAATATCAACCATGTCTCCTAATGGAGCTTGCAGTCAGTGTAGAAGTTTGTACCTTTGCTATTCAGACGTCCCAAGAAGCTCTCCAGCTTGTCCAGTTTCTTATCTGATTCCATGTCTGGCCTGGCCTCAATTTCTGGAGATGAAAGAATAATTACACGTCAAAATCAATCAGGACATTTTAAAATTAAATGATTTTAAACTAACCGAATCAAAAACACAATTTGGTCCAGCGACTGTTTGTGTTCTGTCAGGTATTGAGGTTATTAAATGATTTGTTGCTGAGTCGCTGTTATTTTTATATTTTATTTTGCAGCTAATAAGTGTAAGAGTGACAGCACTTCTGACTTGATTGCCAATTCGTATGACTGACCTTCTGTTTACAGAGCAACAGTAAATGCATCTTTAAATCCATCAGATTCCAACAATTCAGCTGTGAGCTAGATTTTAAAACCAACTCTAACAGGGATTTCTTTGGCTGAGGTGGCAATGCTGACATGGCACTTGCCAATCTGTCTCACCCTCTTGTGGTTTGTTGACGGCAGGCGTGTTGCTCTTGAGTTTGGTGGAGACCGGTGACAGGATGGGACTGATAACTGAGGAGGAGGCTGCCAGACCTGTGGACACAGAGACAGAAATATCTCTCGCTGAGGATACATAAACTCCCGTCTGGACTGCAATGAGTATTTATGTTTGATAATATGCATTATGTTAAAACATTTTGAAATTTCTAAAGAGAAAATCAGCTTTTGCTTAAATGTTGTGCTATAATGCAGCTATTATCTTTTTGTTACATTTACATTCCCATTAACAGTCGATCCTCTACCGAGAGTCCTCCATTAATATATTTGCTATACTGTAATATCAGAAATACATTAATATATATCCACAACTACTAAGACACATAAAACCTACATCAACTCAAAACCTGATCTAGTACATATGATAGCTTTAAATTGCAATTTCATCTCTTAAGGAACGGATAAATGGAATCACCTTACAACTCTTTCCTCAAAGTACAACCAAAATCAGAACAGATCGCTCTACATCACTTCGTCATGTACAGAACATCTGTTAGTTTTACACGTTAGCGGTGTGAGGAAACCGCCTGACTTTTGATCTGATAATCATGCAATGTGACCTAAACCTCTGTTTCTCTGCATTAACACTTGTATTTAGTGAACCGATCACAGTTGAACAGCTCTAAGTGCAAGTGTGAATGATGGTGAGGTGGTGTGGGATGCATATGGTCACATTCTTTTAGATATGTGTACGCGAATGTGTCCTGAGCCGTATTAAAGGACTACCTACTAAACTGATGTTTTCTGCGTTAGTGGAGGTACAAACTTCTTTGTGCACCAGTAACATCATATTAAAGTGAACATCATATCACATGTAACAAAAACAGAAACAGTCAATTCTTTGTCGTCTTTAAATTTCCGACAACGCACTTGGCCTTTGCGAACACTTATTCTAATGCTAAGTGTGAACTGAGGTACTTCGAGCTTCCACTTCCACTTGTGATCAGGCAGGATGCATGTTTATTCCTGGTAAGAACAGGGTCGTAGCGGCTGTGAAGGTGAGGAAGATGTAAAGATATGTCTGGCTTTTTTGTCGAGCAGCTACTTAGAAGGAAACAGGTAAAGTTTTTGATTGAAACTGAAATGTGTGTTCGGGAACTACAGCCCCCTGCTGTAGCCATACTTTCTGATTTCATCATGTGTAGATTTTTGTATGAACGTCTTTCCAAGTAGCATTAGGCTTGTGCACGGACCTTTCTTGACCATTCGTGCAGCCACTGTGTATTGGGTGGAGTCATTGGCTGCTCCTTTGCCCTTCGTCTTCCAGGCATCCTCGCGAGTTGAAATCATCTGTTTCCTCTCCTCAATGGTCATCTGGGCCTCGATTTCCTCTCCCGCCTTCTGCACAGACACAATGAAAATCATATTATGAAAGATTAGTGGGCTGAAGTGCCAAATCTTGCATGCAAACCAACATTCTGCACAGTGAGGCTAGCTGCCAGCTTTAATTTCAGTCATGTTGGACTTTTTATAACATAGAAACATAAACCAAGTCCAAGGAGCCAAATCAAAAGCTTCTATACACCCCTACATCTACTAAGAACTACATCAGCTCTCACACAGCTTTGCTGTAACTCGATGTCACCGCTTTACTCCCTCAAGAGCAATTATTCATGTTGTAACAGTATCAAACCAAGGAGATGTGAAAAGATTGGATGCATTCAAGCATGCTAAGTGCATGGCTATATCATCGGCTCTAGTCCTCAGAGGAAGCGACGGCTGCACACTGAAATGTACTCGTGCTGTAAATCAAAGCGTCCTTCACACGGGTAGCTGCAAACCAAGCAAGAAAGATACAACTCCAGTACATGCTGCCCATTGGAGCGTGCTCGGTGCATGTCCTTACCTGACTATGATGCTCAATATACTGACACTTTTGGCCGAGGGAGATAGTGGGAGAAAAGGTGGAGGAGAAGACGGGTTCCTGAGGATGTAGAAGTGGATGGAAAGGTGAAAGAGAGGAAGGGACAGGAAGAAGAAGAAATGGAAGGAAAAACAATGAACACGCAGATGAAGGGAGACAAGGGATGGACGCAAAAGAAGAGAAACCCAAGGCCAAAAAGCTGGGAATGCAATGTGACTGCAGTTAAACTAATCTAAATGCTCTGTAAACGACACTAATGTAAATCGGTTTTTGAAACACACATGCACAATGTAAATATCTATTTGTTATCTTTAAGAAACTAATACGACCTTGCAATTGTAAATTTCATTGCTGATTTAAATATTTAAAAAATGCACATAGTGGTAGTAAAGACCATCAAATAAGTCAGTTTTTACTGTTAGTAACAGAGCAGCAAAGTGTGAAAGCCATTTTCTGATTGGTACTTGACATAGAAAGCCTCCTTGCAGTACAAACAACACAGCTTAAAGCTCACAGGTGCATTAAGCAATAGTTAGTCTTAAAATATCTACATCTAAAGTGACTTCTACCAACCTTTTGGGCTTGTGACTCTTTAAAACATCACAAAATTGATTCACAACCCTTCATTTAACACTACGAGTAGTTTTTCTGAGTTGTGAGCATTCCAACCAAGAAGTGAAATTTAGCGTTAAAGGCTGAAAATGAAGAGCATCCAGACACCAGCAGATTCAGAAGAAGCAACAAACAGCCATCCAAACAAAACTGTGATTGGACAAAGTAGGTCCCACGCAAAGCTGATTGGTCGAAGGCTGCCAGCGGGTCTTACCCACAGCTGCTCAGACACAGACACAGTGGAGTAGTCCTGAGCGACCACCCCTTCCTCCTGAGGGGTTAAACACAGGGGAAGTACTCGGTCAGAGAGAGGGAGGGAAGGGGGTGACGGCCATTGTTGCTAATGGATTTAGGGGTGAGACTGCCTGGAGGATTACCATCCAGGGTTTAAGCAGGCAGTTTCACCCCTCAGAATACTAATGTGAAGTAGATGAGCTGCAAAAAAAGAACTCCTTTAAAGTGCCTCAGTCCTAAATCCTTAAATTAGATCCTTTGAGCTTATGAATCTATCTCAAGCTGCCGTTTAATCCAGCAGAGATGCATATAAATACACATAAGAGATTCTTGAAATATTTCTCACTGTCAAATCAGCTTTCAAAGTTATTATCTCTCGGGGTTTAAGTGAAATTTCGCCTGAAGCTTCCTCGAATCGGATCTCATAAAAGAGGAGAATTTATTCCCAGTGCACCAGACTGCTAATTCTGCAAACAGATGATTTTGTGTTTACAGCCTATGAGGGGCTGGATGCTGCACTGATCTGGACCACTGGGCTCAAACAACAGATGGACCAAAGGGAATGAAATGAAAGAAGCACTTAACTAAACGAAAGCGGGGGACAGGAGCTGGCACGGTAACGATGAAGGACAGGGAGTGAAATGTGGGACTGGTGTTTTCGCTGTTCAACTATAACACCCACAAGTGCAATATGTTTGAGGAAAATCAACATTTTTATTCAGAGATGCACGCCAAGATCACAACATGGCTGTGTGCATGTGAACAGTGCAACATGAACATCAAAACGCGAGGAGAAATTCAGTTTTATCTTCGACCTTGGATTGATTTTTATCTCCACTGATTTGGTCATTATTCACATTGATCGTGACTCACCAGCAGGACTGCAGAGGTTTCAGAAAGCTGTAGTTTTACAGCAGCTTCCACTGCAACACAAACTAGGTACTTATACAGAATATCTAAAAAAATAATCAAAACACTAGGAAGCTTAATCAATGAGGAGAATGATCTACGAGCCATATTCATAAGGACGTATTGCTTTGTTTAGGAACCGAAATATTTTTTGGGGGGCAGACAGGTGGTACTGCAGAGTCTTTACACTCTGACAACAACCCAGTTGATATGACCTGAAAGTATGAGAAACAGCAAGTCAGGCACAGCTAGGCTTAGTTTGTGAATGTGATTTGAAGAAAATCAGGCATCTTAAGTGGAAAAAATAATGATTAAATAAGAGCGAACACAGCAGAACCCATTTTGTTTTGTTTTTAAGAACAAAGAGTTATAGGACAAGTCAGGGATTTTAAATTTGATACACTTTTAGCCAAATTTAGCAAATATTGTCGCTGTATGATCTTTGTGTGTCTGAAAAAAATCTGATGTTCATTCACAGTCCTGGCCCTGTAAATTAGAAAAGCAAAGAGGCTCTCGAACGATTCCAGTGAGCACTTTGCATGCTTGATGGATGGAGAATGTGGCGAAGTAAGAGCGAGAAAGATGGTCAAACCTGCAATTTATATACTACAATAAGTCCTATCTTTTTATGTTAGCTGAAGTTGTCTTATCTTATGCCAACTAAAGATGACATATTGATGGACAAAACTAACAAAGTGTTCGGTCTCCTTGTGCTCCCTGGCATTGTTTCTCTACATCTCTGAAACATTCCTATATCAATAGAACACCATTTTTCCAAAAGGTATTTCCTCATGATGTTAAGAAAGGGGAATTTCCTAACAAAATCTCTCATAGGTGTTCAATTGGGTTGAGATCTTATGACTGTGATGGCCAGAGCATCTGATTCATTCTCATCAATCCATTCAGTGACCTCTGTGGCCCTGTCGGTCCGTAAGAGACGACTCCCATCCGGATAAAAATGTGTCATCATGGGATAAAGTTAAATCCTCAGAACAGCTTCGTATTGACTAGCAGTGACCCTTCCTTCTATGAGGAGAAGTGGACCCAAACCATGCAGGGAAAATTCCCCCTTCAGCAGAGCAGAGCAGCCAGTTTTAATCACTGTGGGGGCCAATAATTCAGGCTTATCCTTTAAATGGTCACCCTTTCATGTCAGAATATTCAGACTAGATAAAGATCAACAACCTCCCAGAATCGTAGACTTCACCTTTAATACTCATGCAAACACATGTCACTTCAAATGAAGTATTTTAAGTAAAATTTGTAAGACGGGATATAAAATAGCAGACTTGTGAAGCTCAAGTTGATCATCAAGGACAAAACCAAAGTAACAACACAAATTTTACATGTAAAAAACATTATATTGCCACGAATGCCTTCTTTGTTTGCCACAGATGTGAAAGAAAATAATGGTTCTGATCTGTGTAGTTATTATAAAAGTGACTAATGTGAGCCATTTATTGCTTTAAATGAGGACTAACCTTCTTCTCGGAGGTCTGCTCCGTCTCCCATAGCTGAGCCTGCTGCTCAGTGGACGCCACTTTAACCACCTCCTGCTTCTTGTTAATCCTGTTCCTCCAGTCCTCCTCGCCACTCTTCTTAAGCAGTGCCACTCTGGCAAAAGACAAAAAAAATCATTTCAACAGCTGATAAACATGATAAATAATTCCAAATCTCCACTATATTCATGTTTTTCATTCCAGATGCCACATTGCTGCGGTGTTTCTAACAACCAAACACAGTTTTATCACATTATTTCATGACTGTGAAGTACAACTAAAACATTGAGCCAAGCCTTTTTTTGTCCTATTCAAACCCCGATCACTGAAACTGATTCAAGTGGTGCCTGCTTCAAGGACGAAGCTTTAGATCTTTGAAGCTTGTGTTGTTGTTTTTTTCACTCCAGGAGCTTATTTTAGACTCATTGGTGACAGTTGCTGTGATGCGCGATCAGAAAATGTAAAAATAAATGGAGACAAAACTGTTGAAATGATGAAGACTTTTTTTTTTTTTAGTGTATTAACATTTCCATTATTTCAAGGGTGAAAAATCAGTTCAGCGATTTCTGCTCCTCGGCCAGCAAACGTGCGTCTAATAAAAGGCCTCTGAAGACAGCGAGACGATTGTGATAAGTGATGGCTGAGGGGGAAAAGAAAGTATGTCATCGTCTCAGCCGTTTGAGCGTGGACAGGGCAGAAATGAGGGCATCGGGAGGAATCTGTACGTCTCAGAGGATAGCAGCAGTCCATGCAGCTCTCTCGATGCTAAAAATGAATCTCTCCCACCTCGAAAGAGTTAAACAAACCTATATACCGCGAGAAAGGATAGACGGTGACTTCTGCCTGATTCTGTCAAACGCTGCCAATTTATTAGACAGACGCTTTTGACTCAGCCAGCAAAAAAAAAATAAAAAATGTACGTCAGGTGTCAGATCTTTGCTGACATCTCAGTTTTGACCTTGTTATGGGTCGAGTTCAGACTAAGCCCTGAATATTGTAAATCAAATCCAGCTTTAGCAACACCTGCATCTTTACAGATTTAGGAAATAAATGAATGTTTTCGTACTATTGGAAAAACGAGCTGTTCGTAATCTTATCTTATTTAACCTTTTTGTAACTTTGAAATAGTGTTAAATTAGTGTTGTTGGCAGCCTCTTTGCAGGTTTAGGATTAAATGGATACTTTTCTTTCCAGCCATTATTTTTTTTTAGATGTTTTTCTCTTAACATTGGTGAAATTAGCTGTGGAGATTTTACTCTTGACTGAAAAGGTCATTTTAATCCTTTTAAACGTTTTGTAAAGATTAGTGTTTTTTGGCAGCAGCTGTTACTGTCAGTGTGTCTTTGCTGACTTCTCAGTTTTTAGCTTGTAAAGGGCGACGCTGAGACTGGACCCTGAATACTGTGAATGACATTCAGGTTGAGTAGTCCATCTTTGCTCGGCGTTATGTTGTCAGGAAGACATTTTCAAAGGTCTGTATTTAAGATGAAGCATTATTCCTATTTTTCATTTTGTTTTGCTGATCATTTTTAGATGTGTGGTTGTAATTTTGCTTTTATTTGAAAATAAACTAAACTGAGAGACTCACACTGATAATTATAATCATAGTAGATAAAACGCAGCACATTCAAGACAACAGAGACAGAGTGGACTATAGTGTGAGAATGACATGATCTGATCTGCCCTTTTTTGTTGGATAGGAACATTTTGTACTGTGGATTTCTGTAATTTCTGCAACTGACTACTATCACCTTGTTGGTTTTACTAACTTCAAGCTACACAACCTTTGCCAATAGTGTCAACCTTCTGAACCTTAAAATCTACCGACAAATTTGAAAGGCATGTCATCTTTTGGGCTGCAAGGTGGCTCGGTAGTTAGCCGTCCGTTCGCGTCCCGGTGAAGACACCCAGGATCTTTCTATGTGGAGTTTGCAGGTTCTCCCCGTGCAGCGTGGGTTCTCTCCGGGTTCTCCGGCTTCCTCCCACACAGTCCAAAAACATGTTGAGGTTAATTGGTGATTGTAAATTGTCCGTAGGTGTGAATGTGAGTGTGCTTGGTTGTCTGTCTCTAAGTGTAGCCCTGTGATAGACTGGTGACCTGTCCAGGGTGTCCCCTGCCTACCCTAGAGAGGATTAAGCAGTGTATAGATAATGAATGGATAGATGTCATCTTTTAAAAATCACTGTGAAACCAGAAAGAATGGTTGGACTTTGGTTGGTCCCAGCATTTTGATGGTGCTTTAACTGATCATGTATGATGCAGTTTTGCATTGTTGCAAAAAATAACCAAATTAAATCTTAAAATCAGGTTATTACTATAATGCCACTTAATTCTACATGTCTTGTTCACAATTTTGCCAAAAATAAACAATCTGCACTAATCGGATTCTGTAAAAAACTAAAAGATTCTGCTCTTAGCACGACTAATTCAGCTTTGACCAAGCGTCATGTGACAAAAATTCTGGTGCTCTTTGGCTGAATTGCAGGCTATGTCTACACAAAGCAGATAGGAGAAAAGTCTGGAAACAAATTCAAATTGGAAGTAGTAAAATAGTATGTAGAGTCACTGGTTTTCCCCCAGAATTGGTAAATCCCCCACTTGGAAAAATGTACATGTTTATTCTAGGTTTCTTCCAATCTTGCACAATAACGAATCAAAGAAATCAATATTTTTTAATGATTTTTATCACAATAACTGTGTCATATTGCAGAGAATAACTTTTTGAGTTCTTACTACTTCTTGCCATTGTCATACTGTATCAGCAGAGGTGCAGGACTTTACACTCCAGTGACAAATGAGCCCAAAGTGAGGAAAACTGCAACAGGAGCAAAGAAACACCCAGAAACTAGTTGGGGTTCAGAAGGTTAACTTCAGCTTCAAATAGCAAACTTGTCATCCCATCATTTCCCTCTGCCTGCACTGTTACACCGTAACAGTGCCAAATTAACCAAATATGGACAAAAATAATGGGAAAATTTAAGAAGTTATATAAATGAGTGCTTTAGCTGAGACTCACCTCTCCTTGATGGACATCTGTTTGGTGGACATGCCGTCAGACAGTTGGTCTCCGGACTCCGTTGGGGACAGCAGATCTCCAGAATGGACACTGTGCTTGCTGAAGTCCTCGCTGTGGTCCAGCGGCAGGGACTGAGACTTGACCAGCGCCTGGGGGAAGGACTGAGGTTTTGGGGGTGTCTGTGGAGGCACCAGGGGTTTGGGTTGAGGCTGGGGGCCTGTCTGGGGGTAAGGCTTAGGGAGAGACTGGATGAATCCCTGAGGTTTGGGTTGGGTCTGTGGGGAGTGGGTGAAAGGTTTGGGATACGTCGGTGGGGGCTGGGAGTAGGGCTGGGGCTGGATGTATGACGGAGGTTTGGGTTGGGTTGGAGGAGGCTGTTGCTGCGTCAAGGGTTTAGGAAGAGTCTGAGGAGGCTGGCTGACAGTTTGCTGCTGCTGCTGCTGCTGGCTGCTTGAAACGTGGGACACTGTCCTGGACGATACTTTAGCGATGAGTGGCCTCAGTGGCGCTGGATGATCCGGCAAGTCTGAAAGTCAAAGTGTATCACAATCAAGTAATTTACAACGTCTGGCGTTAACTTTTCCCCATCAAAATGAGCTATATATGATCACATATGGAACCCACAACACAGTTTGGTGTTCTTATGCAACTCAATATTCTCAAATCGTTCCATTGTTTTCAATAAAGAGGAAACTGTCCTTGATGAAAGCAACATTATTGCTGACTATACTGCTTAATATGCCACAAGGATTCAATGGATAGCATACCAAGCAAATTTAGTTTTAACAGGGACCGACTTTTTTGAATTAAAATTGCAGATATCAGACAACTACACCATGACCAGTCAGAATTGTTATTTCGGGTATCAGTAACCTCATTCTGACTGGTTAAAGATGACAGAAATATCTTTATCTAGTTTTGAATCATCAAAATAACAGTTACAGATGCCTCAAATGTCATTATGACTAGTCTGAATTTGTCGTGCTCATGTGAGGCTTCCCATTGGATATATTGCCAGAAAAGTATTGAAACAGTGTAAGCTGCAGTAATGGTGACGACTGTGGTGTCAGAAAATGCTGTGAAACAGGAAGAGCTCATCAGCGAGGAGTTTGTCAAGAACGAGAGCTTCACTCTTCAGAGACTCGTGGTCAAAATTTACCAGAACTTTAGCTTCAGGATGCTCTGACATGGTGGTTAGAAAAAGCAAGCCGCCTTCGCCTCCCACTTGTTGTAACTTCTGGCTTAACCAGATATCTGCAACATCATTTCACTGAGTCAAAAACTCTAATTTGAGATATCTGTAATAACATTGTAGGGAGTCACAATTCCAGTTTGAGACATCATTGAATTTCTGACTAATTCAAGCTTGATTTAAGATATCTAAAAACAGACAATGGAGTTATTGTGAACGAAATTTAAAACTATATAATTCAGCTGCAGATATCAAAAGCTGTAATTAATACTATACATGCAGCTAAATATCTGTAATAAGAACCTCATACATGTGAGTGTTATGTGTCATAAGAAGAAGACTGTAGATGCCGGAAATGTTATTTTTGACCAGGAAGAATTGATTTCCGGATATCTGCTAGACATATCTAATTTAGCTAATAAAAACTAAAATGGCTCGTCATAGTTTTCTGTTGATTTTGCAAAAGTTTTAAGAGTTTTGAGCATTCATGTGTTTGGAGTTATTCTAACTAATTCAGTCCCTTTTCAGTTGAAATTTCTATACTGAGAGCTTCTGCTGATGTCAAGTTTTAAACGTGTACGTCATTCAGTTTTAAAAGTTAAAAATAATGGGTGTTGAAGAAATGCTAATTACCCTGATAGTGCATTCAGGGATGTTTTCAATTTTACAAACATAGGTAGCAATTTTTTTTCACAACGTCCATTTTAATTCATAGATCATTTCTAAATTAGGTTTCCTGAAAACATACAGTAGTTAAATCTGTTACATGTACCAACCCCCCAAAAAAAACAATTCTGAAACACTTTTTGACAGAGACAGCTTTTGTAGATACTGATTAAAATACATCCATTTCATATCTTGTCTGCTAACCTGCTGACAACTACAGACCGATTATGCCCTTGATTATAAAGTATGGATGTCCTGAGGTTAAAACATGCATCAGTCAATGTACACACACCCATATTAGATTACCATAAATCCCCCTGTGTAATCACTAGTCATCCCTGAAACATATGCATGCACATGCACATAAGCAGAAGGTTTTGTGGGGAAGAAGAGTGATTAGTATCAACAAAAAAAAAAAAACAGCCTGCTGAGTGGGCTGCAGCAGGTGTATCTGTGTTAAATACACTGTCTGGTCCCCATTAGGAAGACTGCTACTTGTCTTTTGTTAAGGTCAGGGTAACTGCTGTCAGGCATGTAGTGTTAAGTCCCTCGAGAATTGGAACAAGTCAGTGAAAGTCCTTCTAGCCCCATGATAAGATCGTATAATGGGCTGTACTTTAGTGAAGATTTACCCATGCAGAACTAAATAGAAATATAGCCTGCAGACAAGGCTTCCTTTGTGTCCTTCCTGTCTTCTACCTGCTTCATTTAAGTGCCGGACAATTGTCCTGCACACTCTTTTCTGAGTGCTTTCATCTCTCCGTTACTGTTTTTGTGCATGCATGGGAAAAGACCACCCCTGGACACACTCTGCATTAGCACATAAAAACAGGTCAGGCCCATTTCTCTGTAGTATGTGCACAGCTCAGCCACAGGCGTAATGTGCTGCAAAGGGACCACAGCCCCTTTTGTAGGCCACGACAGTGAACACACACACGCGGCTCCATCTAAAAAACCTTTGCTGTCTGTTTGGCTGACAAACAGCATGTCAGGAAAGGGCTTCCTCTTTCTAGACAAAGGGAGCCACGAGGTAAATTCATGGAAAAATATGCTAATTAGATGCAGCCTCAGACGCCTCTCTCTCTCCCCTTGACACTCACAGTCTCTCTCTCTCTCTCTCTCGCTTTCTGTATCAGCCAAATCAAATACCCCCAGCTGGGACAAGTGTGTGTGTGCAGCCGGCAGAAAGCAATCATGCGTGGGAGCATGCTGCATAAGACAATGAGGGTAATGAGAACAGCCCCTTCCCAAGACATTTCTTTTTCTGTCTTTTTGTCACTTCTTTGCTTTTCCCTTTTCATTCAAATTCTTTTCCTCCATTCATCTCTCTATCTCTTTATCAATCTTTCCCCTCCACTCCTTTCTCCCTCTTGAAGTCACCAGAGAAGCCTCCTACCTGTGATGCCAGCCTGGCTCCAGCCGCTGCTCCTCTCCTGCTCCTGTGTGGAGGCGCCGTGAGCTGCTGCAGCCTCTCTCAGGTAGCTCCCTCTTCCTCTCCCACCTCCCTCTGCTCTCTCCCGGCTCTCCTGGGAGTCTCTCCAGCTGGGCAGCGGCTCAGACTCGCCCCTCCACGACGAAGGCTCGGCGGAGTGCTGAGGCTGGGGATGCTGCTGCCTGTTGTCCGAGTGTGGCTTCCCCTTAATGCTGCCGCCTTGGCTGTCTTCTCTGGCTCCTCCCTGCTGTCTCCCCCTAACCTCCTCCTCTGCCGCCGCCGCCGCCGCCGCCGCCGCCGCCACCTCCCCCTGCTGCCTGTGACCGCCGGAGGAGGTGGGAGCAGGAGGGGCCCCCGCTCTCTCTCGGCTCTCAATGAGGAGAGGGGAGGAGTTGGGCTCGGGCTCGGGGTGGCCTGGGTCCCCGCTCTGGGTCATGGAGAAATACCTCAGCGCCCTCTCCTGGTGGAAGCCTGCGCCACTGGAAGCCTGTTGTTGGGCAGGGATGTAGGGGGCGGCGGTGGACTTCCCTAGACGGAGACCATCACCATCGTCGCCGCCTCCGCTGCTGCTTGGCGCCATGGTTACTGTGGTAACGGAGGCCTGGGAGGTGACGGCTGCCACCGATCGAACCAGGGAGGCTGACAGGGGCTCCAGTTTGATCTCGCCTCCATTTTTCAGCTGCAAGAACAGCAGGAGTCATGTCAGAAAGTTGGGAGGGACAGAATGACAACAGAAGGGCTGCAGGGATGGATTAAATATAACCCGAGGGAGGGAAGTCAGAGATTAATTCAGGAATGCGTGGGTGTTATAGAAGGTATGTGACGTTTAATGGATGGATGAAAGACAGAATAAATAGGGAGGACAAAGAGGGTAAGAGGTAGGATAGATTGATGAGGAAGAACAGCAGCAGACAAAGCCACAAAAAATGGAGTAATTTGCTCCGGAAGCCACATCTAAATATCAAAACTCAGCCATTTAGAAATGTGTTAATCACACTGGGATCCATCTTACCTGGATATGATTTAATAACTTCCTCTATTTAGTGTTTATACTTGCTCGCTAACCAGCTTAACGTTTCAATTGAATAATTCATTGAAATGTCTGTTCATTTAAGACACAGCAGTGATGTCTGGGTGCTAAAAACAAATAAAAGACATTTCCATTAGCTTCATTAAGTGGATGTGCTGAACTAGAGCTAGACAGTATTTAAAATCCCATCATAAACAACGCTGTATTGAAAATATAAAAATAGAATTTGACATCTGTTTCAACGAAAACGATTAAGCAGTGATGTGATCGCCAAGACAGAGAAAGAAATCAGTAATGTTGTTATGTTGGTAAAGCACACCGAGTCAACTATTATTCATTTAACTGAAATGAAAAGATCAAATTAGTTAAGAAATTGTATTACTTACATGCAAAACAGATTTAAAGGCCAGAAAAACACAACATTAACCCTCTGAATCCCAAGCAGTTTCTGAGCATTTTGTTCTCCTGACACATTTTTACTCACTTTCATCTCATTTTTCACTGCAAGATAAAGTTTTGCGCTTTTATGGACACAGCACAACCATGGCTAGAAGTAGAGAGAGCTCAAAAATGTCTTTTGTGCAGTATAACAAAGTTATGATGTCATATAAACTGAAAAAAAAAAAAGCTGAACATCTTCAGTTTTTTGTTTTACAAAAATGTATAAAACTGACATCATGTGTATTTTTTTCCCAAGTGCCCCCAGGTGTTACCAACATTGAAAAACAAATAAGACACTCCACTCTATAGATATTTTACGCCTTACATTTGCTTCCATACTTGTCGCCTACTCTGTGCACAGCCTGCAGTTCATCCCAGTAAAGAAGCCCCTACATTTTTTATTTTTTTCCACAATCTCTTTGGTGTAAATGTTATGTTTCTGGTGAATTTTTAAATGTGTTCTTCACACTGCTCTTCACATAACTCCTGGAAGATATTTCACCAAGCTTAATATATCATCCAACAACTTTCTGACAACTCAGTATACCGCTTTTGAGCCATGTCGCATTTATTTTATTACCCAAGTATGTCTCTGAATTTTTGTCACGTGACTGTTAATTGCAGGTAAAATCAATTAGAGCTTCTAGGTTGCACCAAGAAGTGCAGATTTTTTTTGGTTTGTTTTTGTTTTTACAGAATCTATTGAGCGTGTCTAATTTAAGCTTAGATGTGGTTTATTTTCCAGACAGAACCAGAAGTCAAAGACAAATGATTACTTCAATGACCAAAAGTTAAAAAGTCTACAAATTTGACACTTTCTGGCTCTAATAATTACTGTGATTTTGATCATTTTTTCAAACGATAAAATGCGTTTCAAACATGCCAGCTAGTTTTTGGGGTTCAGAGGTTTAAAGTGGTATCACTACTATAATCAATATTAGTGCATTGTCTATGTGGCCCTTCTCTCCTGCCACCTGCTCCAGTATAGTTGGTTTATGCTTTTTTTTTTTTTTTTTTTTTTGCAGTTTGCAGCCATCTTCAAGATGCTCAAACTCCACACCAGGCTACCACAAATTGATTTTGCTTGCAATTCAAGGTCTGGTTATTGACCCTCACACAATTCTGCACACATTCAATATCAAGGCCAGTTCCATCCACATACTCATTCCCCAGATAAACTTCTTTCTTGCTAGTTTATTCAGGCTGGAAGCAGGCCTGTATAAACTAACGAGCACTATTTGCTTGCGTTCAAGTATCCCATGCTTGTTGTGCGACAAACAAGCATGTCACAGAAGCAGCTAACGATGAAAATGAGGCACAGATAACAAACAAGGCACCCTGAGCCTTTCTTTACATGCTGCAATACAAAGCATACAACTAGCACAAGAGTATCCATAAATGAATATTAAGCTGAACAATACAACAACAAAAGCTGCTACCATATCATGACACAAACACCAGTCACTAGCAGGACCGATCGGATCATTCAATAGTGGGATCAATCGATGCATAAGCTCCATTTAGGCAGCCTGGGTCTTACATGTTCTCCCTGATTGGCCTCTAAGTCACCGTTACACACTGCAGAAGTTGCTGACGGCTCAGCTTCCTGTGTGAACAACAATTATTGGCTCAGAACATGGCAGAGATGAAGTCAACCTATTGTGAAGCATTTGACACCGAGAGGAGAAACATGTTTGTACCTCACTTCTGAAGTAACATAAAATAAAATGAAAACAGGTGTAATTCCTGCATAGAGGACAATATCTCTTTGCAAGGCGGTTACACATCAGGTGAAGTTTTGATGGTATAGATCCAAAACAATTCCATCTTCAGGCAACTAAATAGTGCAAAAGGATAAAAATATATTCCTTCGAGCCAAAATCGGTTTCTTGCCTCCCATATGTGAACTGTCGACCATTTTTGACATCTAGCGGCAACTTTATTTTTTTTTTAAATCAAGCAAAACAAACCCTGTGATCTGTACGAATCATCCAGCTGAACAGAGATCCATGTCGTCCATCCACAAAGCACCAAGGGAAATTAGTGCGCTACAAAATACTCACTGCAATGGGTGTAAGTGACCTGGAAGTGAATTGTGTGTAGCTGCAAGGTTCTTTAAGTAGACCTTGCAATCAAGTAACTCTGCATGCTACATTGTCAGATTCAATTATTTTAGACTACCTTCTGCACATCTGTCACTTTGAATTACCCTGTTTGAAAAGGCTCACTTAGGAACGAGACACATATTCTGCAACTCACTCCTCAGTATTGTTATGCTACTATAATTTACACTGATATCTGCAGTTCTAACATTTCATCTGCATATAATTCCTGTGATTTGCACTCTTCAAATCTTTTTTGTGTTCATGATTTTGTGTGGACCGTTAGTATGGATGCTACTAAGGTCAGTAAGCGTGTTCAGGCTGCAAAAGCAGGGAAAGAACATCATCTGTTGTGATGCTATGACCTGTGAACATCTCCTAGTCTGTCTTTATCATAAACTCTAACTTATCTGAGCATTTTCTTAGTTTTGTTCGGCATTTATTTCTATGCAATTGTTAACAAAGTGCCACACTTTTCTTCCATAGAAACATTACATGAGGTAAATCCACTGTACCTGCTCCACTTCTCCCTGGGTGATTGGTTGAGTCTGAAAACGGGTGTTGGCTCGGCGCTGGCGGGTGTCACCTCGAGCCCCCTCGGCTGTTTTACCCGTAGTGTGGGCGAGACGGTTGAATAAGGCCATCTTCTCAGACAAACTGAGCGTGGACAGGTCGGGCTCATCCGAGACAAGGCCCAGGCTGTCAAACTCAGCCCCAGAGCTTGAGGCTTGAGCTGGTCTCTGGTGATCCTGGGCTTCCTTCTCCTGATCCTGGACTGCTGAGTCTGGCTGAGAGGAGGCCTGAATGCTGGGGAAGTGAGCAATTAGAGTTAATATTTGAATTGATATAAACTGAAAAGTTATATGCTAGACTGAGTCGTTTTTTGTCAAGGTCTGTGGTTTTGTGTATAAATAGTCTTATCTTTCATTCTGTTTTTGCCCGTTTGGTCTGTTTTGTTTTCCAGAATACTTGTTTTCTTCCCTTTTCTTCACCTGCCCATTACCTGCTCAGTTTTCCTCACGTTGCTTTCCTGTTTCTGGTTTACACATTTAGAAGCTTCACTTCTAGCCGAGCTTGTTCTCTTCCTTTTGATACATTTTTGGATCTTCGGTAATTCTTTGCCAGCTCTCTATGCTTTTGAATTATTTTTAGTTTCTTTCTGTGCTTGTTTGTTTTGATTAGGTTCACCTATAGTTTTTTTTAATACTCGCCTTTGGTGTCTGCATTTAGGGCTTTTTCTAAACAATCCCCACCATAATTTTCAGTTTTATCATGACAAGCATGACAATGACTGGACAGGGACATTTTACACATGGGCATTAGAACAGGGTTTACTGTCATGTCCCTGCATTATGAAGGTAGAAACTTGTTTTTTTTTCAAAGTTGTACTATATTAACTGTAACCTATTCAAACAAAACTCAATTTTTCACTTATCAAGATGTCTTAAGATAGTAGAAGCGAAGTAATCATCCACTAAATAGTACAGAAATGAACATGCATGCTAATACCCTATAGGTAAATAGCTGTGGCAACTGTGTCAGATTACAGGCACAGCAACAGAGACATAAGCAGATCAGCGCACATATGCCAGATAATCATATAATGCACTTGGATGTTTGCAGGGGTTATGGCGATCTCCCAGCCGTGAGCCGAGTTCAACCTTGGCTGGAAAACAAACTGCACGACACGTGAACTCAGACATGCAGAGGGCTTTAACTGGCTCAACCTCTGACCTTTACTGAAGATATGTAATCTATTTCTTTACTGATATTTATGACCTGCATGTGAGAAACATGCTTCTAGACCAAACATGAAGATTACTGAATGAGTAATTGTGTAAACACCAGCTTCCTTGCCCTATAAGGTGCACACAGCTAAGGCGCAGCACACGAAGGGGCAGAAATAACAAGGAAAGGTGATCTGCAGGAGCACATCAGCACTGCAACCAGGAGAGGGAGATGGAGGTTTGTTCACCACAAACAACACGACAAATTAAATTCATAAGAGGGAGACAGGCGTACCACTCATCATAAACTGGCTGTGGCACTACATTTTATTGGTTTCTATGCTTAAAAAAAAAACAATGTAGATGTGTCTTAGTGTGAAGCCATAATCCGAGTGTGTACACAATGCAGATTTTTTCTTTTCATAATTTATAGCTGTAACACAAGTTTAATAGTTGAGATTAAAGATTGCCGCACACAAGAAAAGGACTTGGATTCTCCAAGTGGACTAAATTCAGTCATTAAAAGTACACTACACACCATCCCTGATATTTTTAACATCCATGGAAGTTAATACATTGCTTGAGATCTAAAAAAAAAAATAAAAATAATTGAATCTGGAGTGTTTTTCATGCACATTCTATGGGTTAAAGTATAAAACAACTACATACACTGATCAGCTACAACATTAAAACCACATTCCACCCATGTACTGCTAAAACAGCTCTGACTGATCAAGGCCTGGACTCAGACCTGTGAAGGTGTCCTGTGGTATCAGGCACCAAGACAGTAGCAGCAGATGCTTTAAGACCTGTAAATTGTGGGGTGGGGCCCCTGTGGAGCCCACAGATGCTCAATCAAATTGAAATCTTAGGAATTTGAAGTCAATATCTTGGATCTTTACATCTTAAAACAATTTCATTGCACACTATTCTGCTAAAAGAGATTCCTCCCATCAAAGAATACTTCTGCTATGAAATACGTGGTCTGCAGCAATGTATAGGTGGGTCTACATAAATGCCAGGACCTAAAGTTTCCAACCTGCCCAGAGCATCACAATGCCTCTACAATGCCTCCTTCTTTCCATAGTGCGTCCTGCTGCCATCTCTTCCCCACACAGGTAAATAGCCACATGACGTAAAAGAAAACGTGATTCATCAGGCCCATTGTCCAGTTCTGGTGCTCACATGCCTATTTGGTGGTGGACAGGGCTCAACATGAACACTCTGACTAATCTGCAGCTATGCAGCAAAATGTAAAGCGCTGTGTGTTCTGACACCTTTCTATCATAACCACCATTAGGGTTTGTAGCAATTTGTGCTGCAGCAGCTCTTCAGTGGGCTCAGACCACAGAGACCAGTCGTCATGCCAGTCGCACTTCAACAAGCCTTGGGCACCTATGACCTTGTCTCATGTTCACTGGTTGTATTTCACTGGGCCGCTTTTGGTAGCTACTGACCACTGGATACCATGAACACCCCACAACACCTGGCATTTTGGAGATCTCTTAACCAGTTTTGGAGAAATCAGAATTTTGCCACTGGAAAAGTCCCTCAGAACCTTACATTTTCCCATTTTTCCATCCAACACATCGACTTCAGAAACTGACTGTTCCCCAGCTGCCTATTATGTCTCACACGTTGACAGGAGCCCTTGTAATGAGACAATCAATAGTATTCACTTTACTTGTCAGTGGTTTATTGTTTTAGCTGATCAATGTGCATCCTGCAGGGGTACAAAGAGCAAGTATGGTGTATTTTAGCTATTAAATTAGCAACACATACACGCATGACAAATCAGCCCAGCCCACCTGATGCTAGTCACACTGGTGCTGGCTACTGTGGGGCTAGTAATGAGGACTCCCACAGATTGTGACGATGTGGCAGGATCACTTAAAAGTAGAGAAAAGGAGGTACAGAAGGGAAAAGGTGAAGTAGACAGTGCTCAGCAAAGAAAAACTGTCAAAAACTGAAAAAGAAGAGAAAGGAGATGATAGCAAGTCAAGATGACAGCATGTCTGAAGGTATGACAAAGAATAGACAAGAGGGAAAAGAAAGGAAGAACATAAAATTACAGACAAGAGCAGGAAGTAGAATAAAAACAAAATGGGGATAAGGGGGAAATAAAAAAGGGCAGATATCTTTAAATTGTACTCATCTAAATACAGCTATAAAAGCCAAATCCAAGAACTACCTTGAAGCGTTGACCACCTCCCGGTTGGTGACGGGTTGTGTGTGTGCACGGTCCTGAACTCTTCTAAGACGTCTTTCTACAGCAGCATTTCTTGAACGTGGTTTGGGAACGCCTCCGTCTGATGTCCTTTCCAGTTCCTGGAACAAAATGTCGAGAAAACATCACGATTACCTCCCAGTTTACTTGAGATGTACAAAATATGGCACCTGAAACTACTCAAACATCATTGTCCTGCTGTAAATCTGAACGTTATGATTTTAAAGGACTTGGCATTTAAAGTGTAAACCACTGATCATACGTTGTGAATGCCTGACTTGTGCAGAAAGCAGTATATATACCCTGAAGAGAGATCTCTTCGCTGCCACACTCATCTTGGCTCTATCGTCCAGTTTTTCCTCATCTGCTGATGACAAGACAGAATTATGTTACATGCCAGCTATGTATTTAAACTTCAGGATGACATCCATGAATTTTCTCTTTTTTTGTGATTCATGTATATTGTACACGTATGCAACAGACCCTTCTTACCCTCAGGATCCTGTAGCTGTGATGGGCTGAGACGGGACCTGCAGAAAAGAATACAAATCGAGCATTAACATGTAGCCCACATTATTGACTATGAGGAACCACTGGATATCATCACGATCTGAAAACCAGCGTAGAACCATGCTCTGCCACCCCATTCAATGTATTGCTCTTTATTAATAAAATAATTCTGCAGAGCTCCTGCAGATTGCTAGAGAGCCGCTCCTGTACCTATCAGACTCCAAACGCTCTGCAGAGGTGATGGGCTGGGTCCTAAACCTCTCCGACATGCGACTGTCTCCTGGAGTGATGTAGCGCCGAGGCCTCCGAGCACCCCTGTCCCGGTCGCTGCTGCTAACTGGATCTACCTCCATAGCTGAGAGATCTACTTTAGTAGTCTCACTTTTTCGGTGATTGGTTTGGAAAGATTGACGAAGACAACAAATAGGGAAAGGTAAAAAATAATGTTAAAAATGGTTGATTTTAAAGTTGTTATAGTAGTTTAACATTTTACCAGGAACTGCACTCAGATTAAAAAAAAACAAAAAAAACACAAGGCTGAGCACAACCTAACTGCCACCCAACCGTGAGGAGCAATTACAACATGCAGCAGCAGAGTGTAACTTGCAAGAACCGATGCTAATTTGTACAAACAAATAAGTTCAGACGCTACATTGAACAATCCACCTCGACACATTTCATGCCACAGAATTACATAGAACATTATTACTTTCTTGTATCATAACTGGATTATTTATTCGTAGCAGCTTACTAATGCATTGTTAGAAAGTTATTTAGCGATGCAACACAGAGCCCATGCCAGTAGACCTACAACTCAGGCTTCCGGTTGGCATTCTCCAGATAAGAGTGTCGCAGCTGTGCTACTGACACCCTTGTGTCCAGGGTTCCCATCTCCCCGTTAGCCATCCCTGGCGGAAGGACAGTCCTGGATGCGTCTCTGCTGGCCGCTGCCCTCTCCATACGATACACGGCAGAGTGCTGGCTCACACCGATATCTGACATGGAGCGGGTTCGTATCTTGGGTTTGGGCCCTCCGCTCATCTCCAGGCTTCTGTGTTTGGCCTGAGGCAAAGAGGAGCCCTTCTGGAGGTAGATGGCTGAGTCAAACCTCTGGTGCCCAGATTCAGCCTGCTGCTGCCTCTGAACCTCAGACTCTTCATCTAGTTGGAGCTGTTGTTGTTTTTTCTGGGACTCTTGCTGCTGACTTTGATGCCCTTGTCTTTGCAGCTCATACTCCTGCTGTCTTTGAGACTGCTGTTGTCTCTGACTCTCCTGCGGCTGTCTCGAGTGCTCGTACTGATGCTGCCTTTGAGGATCTTGCTGTTGAATCTGAGCAGCATGTTGTCTCCTTCTAGGTTCATACTGTTGTTGTGCTGGGGGCTCTTGCAACTGAATCTGGGGCTCTTGATGGTGCAGGGGCTCTGAGGATTGATGTTGCCTTGGCTGCTGGCGTACAGAGGCTTGAGAAGGTTGCACAGATCTAAATATCCTCTCCTCTTGGCTTTCATGGCTGGAGAGATGCTCTTGACCCCTTTCTCTGATCCTTTCAACATTTCTTTCCCTCCCTCTTTCCCTTGGTCTCTCCTGATCCCAGTCTTCCTCACTTCGACTCGTCCTCCTTCGTTCTGGGCTGTTGCTTTGCCAGTCCATGTCTTCATGTCTGCCCCTATGAATGTCATCTACGCTTTTTTCTCTCCGGCGAATCTCTGAGGGCAACACAGCTTTCCTGCTCTTTAGCAGGCCTTCTGTATGAGCCTCTTCCTTTAGAGCCTGCCTGGCCTCCACTCTTGCCTCCCTATGGGCAGCATAGATTTGGTCGGCACTCACTCTCCTTCGTGGTTGTACCTCAGGAGGTTCAGAAGGTTTGGCAGTTGGGGCAGTCATGGCCAAATAGGGCTGAGAGTCCACGGCTGGGCCTGAGTGTTGGTAGTCAGAGGTGGAGGGAGGGTAGACTGCTTGCCCATGGGCAGGATGGTGGCCTGGGCTGGGCTGAGGCTGGGGAACAGTCCTTTGTTTGATGGGTTCTGAATGTTGTGGTGTATACTGAGCAGTGCTGCCATGAGTACGGTGTCTGTTAGCTTGGTGCCTGTCTGGACTCCAGTCAGGGGGCCTCTGGGCAGTTTCATCCCTGGACAACCGTTCCCTTACTCGGATTCTTGGGGAGAGGAATGCATAAGGGAAACTGAGATTCGGGTCATGTGAAAAAGCGTCAACCTTCTGTGAACTTAAGACTAAACTCAAACCAAAGATAGTCTATATGGAATGAACCAAGTTTAAAAAAAAAAAAAAAAGCAGCCATCGTTTTATTATCCAACTTGAACTTTATAAGTAGATTGAAGTAGTATCCAAACAATACTTCTGTAGGTGACTGGAGGAGCAAACAACCTGAACACCTACAGCTCAAATCTACACTAAGTATTGGATTTTAATTTTTGTGGAAACTTAATTTAAATCCCACTAATTCCACATGCACGTTGTGAAACATATAGAACAAAAGTTGAAACCTTAAGACAATCATGGGACCAACTTCAGCACCCAAATCCTACACTCGTATGACAAGGTCAAGTAGCAGCATGCTCTGGCTTTAAATTCGAGCCCAACCTTCCCTCTCTCTCTCTTGCTGATGTCTCCATGCCAAAAAAGTAAGTCAAACTATTTTCATCCCCAACCTCCTGACCTCTGGTAGCCAAAGGTTGCACTAATCTCATTGTGGACCACTAAGCCAGACATAATTGATGGGCCTCTTCTTTATCTGACATGGCATGAAGGACTTAAACGGTGCTTGTGCTACATGAGTACGCACTAATACTAGCAGCTGATAAGGCCACAAAGGAAGTCAGAGTCAGTGCCAGAACCTGGACTTTTAGCTCAAAAGTGATCAGAATGTGCCTTGAGACATAAAAACAGAGTACAGAAGCAGCATGTTGATTTTCTTTCGTTTGTCTGACTTGTTTGCTATGTCTCTATGAATTTCACCTGCTCATTCAGCTTAAAGGCAGGTCTTCCTTTCAGAGGCGATCAGCAAGCGACTAGGTCACTTATCTGGGCTACTCCCCAAGGACTTTAAAGTTTAATGGCAGCACAACTCGGATAAAATCAAAGATTTCCTGTAATAAGCTTTCTCCTGACATCCTTTTACCACAAAACCATATCAGGAGATTGAAAGACATTTGGGAAGCTCTCATGGAGAAATGAACGTCTTATGCAACAACATTGTAGAAGTCACTCCCGTGGTACAAGATATAATTTCACAGAGGTTAAAAGGCCAAAATTTGAGGAGGGAGCATATGAGTGCAGTCTTGCTGACAAGTGCTGATTCAGTAGGTCTGAGACTGACTGGGTCAGGGTCTGGAGCTGACTAATGTTGTTACCCCATCAGCTCCGGTTCACTAACACCCCTCAACTGCACTTGAAACCCAGGCCACACACAGCCACACTGCTTTAACAAGGACGCAGGTGCAGGGGGTGGTGTTGTACTGAGGAAAAATGATTTGTTTTACAGAGTTCTGGATGTGTTTAGAGGCGTATGTGACAGAAAATGTGTCAAGTACCTCAAGTTTCCTGTTGCTCTACTCTCTTTTAATTCAGATGTGCAACACCAGTAGTTTTCATCGTTCATTAACATTTCTACCACAAATGAGTGTCACTATAGCAAAACGTAGTGACACTATGCATGGATGAAAAAAGGAAACTTATAATATGAAACTGCCAAGTTGCAGAAAAAACTATAAAAATTAGTTTTTATGCCTGGTAAATCTTTAAATGGAAAATGTTAAATGATGAGACTAAGTTAGAAATGGAAGTTTGTCAGTTGAAAAGTGGAAACACCAAATAACTGTTAAATGGGACACTAATCAATAAGGGAAACATTATTTTATGAAGCATGATAAGAAATAGTTATACAGTTGATCTGGAGGGAAGAGTTAGCTGCTTGTCCACCAGGAACATGTTTCTAAAAGTTCCCGCTCTGCATTCTTCCCAGCAGGATTAAAAAGGTTACCGTATGCAAGTTTTAAAATATTCAGGGTTTGCAGGATCTACAACATTGTTTTATTATTATTTTAAATCCATTTTTGCCCTGAGAAAAAGACAAGACTGCACATAAATGCAGAGTTTACAAGTACTTTAGTGAGTATCTAAATGCTGCCAGTTAAAATCACATGTACCAGGTGGACAGCGGGTGTTTGGTGGGTCTTAACACTCATGACAACCCGAGTGGACGGTACCTGGAAGGCCAGCTGAAGTCTGTCTGAGTGTCACTCTCTGAGTCTGTGTTGAGAGACCAGTCGCTCTTTGACAGGGCGGCCAGGCTACAGGATGATGTGGTGACAGTGTCAAACCTCGAGGGAAACTTCGGATCATTTTTTTTTTAGGAGCACTGAGCAGCTGGACCATTTACCGTAATCACAACTACTTTTGGTGCTTGTGAGTCAGAGATTTAAAAATGGTTGTGTTGTGCAACTTGATGTGTTGATGTAATATAAAAGCCTTTTCGACTGCTGCAGAGTTACATCACAACTTTCATAAATATAGTTCCAGCTCATAGTAATATCTCTGCCTCAGCGTCATCAAGTCAAATTCTTCTTCATCTAAGGTACTTGAAAAGTATTACAATTTGTATTCCTTTTGTGGTAGCATGTTCCAGTTTATAATAGACAGTGACAAGCACTAAGCTAATGAACCAAGCTGCTGGTAAATCAGGTTTACCTCTTAGGGCAAGCAGGGAAATCATACCCACTCCAAAAGCCAACCCTGCAATCTCCCCCCTCACCCCACAACCTTCCCCTGATGAGCTCCCCAGAGCTCATTTCTATGTGAAACTGGAGCAGGACAAGCATGACAGAGCTGGACCCACAGTCTAGAAAGATCCCTGCACTGGCAGAGTGGAAGAACTAGCTGGCTAGCTATGAACCAGCCAGTGGATGGTCCAAACTGCACAGATTCATGAAGTCGAGCGGGAAAGCTAAAATATAAATACTTTTACTTTGTTCATTAAGCATCTGAAGCCATCACAATCCACTGGGAGGTTTAAAAGGCATATTACTGGGGGTTCAGAAAGTTAAACATTTTACTCATTTGAGTTTCTGCACACAAATCCTGTTGGAGTTTCACAATCAATAATGTAGCCACAAATTTTGCAAGCAAAAAAAAATTGAAAATATGCTTCTAAAAGAACGTATTACAGCCAGTGGATCAGAACAAATACTGTCAGGTAAGGTAAGGGACTCATCTTGCTTAAACTCCCTGACACTACATGCAGTCTAAAAATATACCAGACTCTTCATGCTATGATCTCCTGATTCAATATCAAAAGTATCTGTAGGTGCATACACTAAAACCGAAGTGAAATTGGAAGAACTATTAATAAAATACTAAAATAGACGCATGTTGCATGTTTATATGCAGAATTTCAATACTTTGACAAGAACTAAAGTGTGTTTAAAGTTCGAACCGCACCACAACAAGCAAATAACCAAAAGTACATTTCTGATTCTACTGTCCTGTCAGGCATTAACGGTGTATTTCAGATTTTATTTGTGTGTTTTTATGAGACATTATGCCTAAAATCAGATTTTGTTTTGGAACATAATAGTACTGTATTGTCATTATTCAGCAATAATTCCACAATATCCGATTTTTCACAATGTGTTATAAAGTTTGTCAAATGCTCAGTATTTATGTTTTGACTTTAGTGATATTTTTCTCCTAAAGCTCTTGATGCAGAACTACAACTTGACTTTATGTATTTTATGATTGCTGTAACTCAGTTTTATGAACTTACCCCTGCCTGTTGAGGATGCTCTGGGCCTGCTGCTCGATGAATAAATCCCCAGGTGAGATGCCGTAGCGAGTGGATGGTAGTGATGCTCGGCGGGCGGTGCGAGGAGAGCTGGGCACTGCTGCGATGCTGTAGTCCCTGCTGGAGGCTGGGCTGGGCTCCTTGTGGGCAGCATCCTGGTGGTGATGTTGTTGTTGTTGTTGTTGGGGCTGTGGCGGATGCTGCTCTTGTGTCCTGCTTCTAGAGGCGACTGAGCGCTCTTGAGCTCCCCTACGCCGATAATTCTCCATGTTCATCGCTCTTTCCCGCTCCGAAAATCTACTCGATCTTTCATGAGTGGAGGGAGGAGCTTGATTTGAGTGGGCGGGGCCTGTTGTGCTATCAGGTGCAGTGTCTGGGTGAGTCCTCATGTAAACCCTACCCACTCCAGAGCGATACGGCACCCTGGGCTCCTGTCCTGGTGCTTCTGCTTCCGACCTCTCTGGCCTGGCAGCGGTTTGTCGGTCAGAGGCGTCCGGATCACGCCTGGAACGGTAGCGTGGCGTGTAATCGATGTCCACTTCCTGATCAAGCAGGATGCCATAACGCTCTGACAACTGGCGACGGCGCTCAGCTTTGTAGCGGGCGATGCGTTCGGCCTTCGAGCTGAGGCTGGTGGATTCTGAAGGGCCAGATGTGGGTGTCGACGAGGTGGTTAATGTCACTGGGTCAACATACACCAACACTGGCTCTGCACGGCTGCCGCCAACACCACCTTTGGCCTGAGATGACCTGTCTGGAGACGACACCTGCTTCTGTGGTGCCTCCAGCTCCTCTCGACTGTAGCGCCTCACTGTGGTAAACAGGGAAATACTCCATTACTCATCAGCAGCATTCACTGAACATCAAGAATTATGCTACCTTCACGTCAATTTCTAATCCAAGTCACAATTACGACTGGACTGTGTTTAAAAGCTCTGGTATATCTGACCTGGCACGAAATAAAGTCAAAAGTGCAAGAAAAAGCAAACAAATATGGATGCACACAACACAAATGTGACATTATTCTAAACAAAACACATCACTGACATTCACACGACTTGTTGAATTCCCTTCTTGCAAAATGCAACAACATGCAACAACTTGCAGCTCCACTGGATGAACCAGTAGTGCTGCAGTGCTCAAAGGATGTTGGTATCACAGTAAAAGTAAAATGACAAACAGTAAAACGATGAAAAGTTCACAAATATTCAATGACAAACACAAATTACTGTTTTTTTGTCAAATAATGTCATTCCAAGTCCACTGAAGCCAGCATCATATATTTTCTGCAGTGCATCGTGCCATGCTTACCCATCACACAAGGCTCACAGGGGTCTGAGGCGCGGGTGTACCGCGGAGGATCCTCCTCCAGCATCCTGTTAGCGACCAAACCACCGGGCACCAGTGCGGGTGGTGCGTCACTTTCAATTCCCTCCAGACGTCGGGCTATCCTCTCCTTTCTACCAGAGGCAAAAGGCAGAGGGTAACGGTCAGGAACGGTTAAGCCAAGTGAGTCTTTCTGAGAATGTTTCGACATGTTTATACCGAAATACAGCGTCCTGAACGTACCTGTTCATTCCTGAATCTTTTGTGACAGTTCCCTCAAAGTATTTCTTCAACTCTGAAACTAAAAGCATGCACAGAAATTGAAACAAATAGTCATAAAAATGGCAATTATTTGTTTTATTCTGTGCTATTGCAAGAGCTTGGAACTGATGCACACCTTTAGGAAGGACGACCAGAAGTTTGGCATCTGTATCTGAAACACTCTTGACCAAGGTGGTCTTGTCATTCAAGGAGAAGTCACTCTGAAAACTGAATGAAGACAGAGTCACAAACCTGCAATCAACATGATATCTATTACATTGTGATTTATTACTAGGGCTGTAGTGTCCAGGGCTGACTGGCCGACTGGTTGGTCTGTTTGCTCTCATCCATTCAAATTCCTATTGGTCCCAACCATTGGTGTTATTGGGAGGGGGGACGGGACGGGACACGACAGAAGCCTTCCAGAAATATAAGTTTAAGAAGTACAGTTTTTCCTCATGTCCGTAAGTCTATAGAACATCTGGACTGTGTCTCCTGGTGTTCAATGCGAGGAAATGCTTCTCATTACATATGCATTGAAGCTTCAGCGCAGCCATACAAGAGAGAGACACATCAGAGGCTATCAGTTTTTAGCGACCAGTTCTATGGAATATTGACTTTGAGCATTTTTGTCACTAAAATAGAATTTATAAAACATAGAGAGAAATAAGTGGGAAGGTCAACATGCCACATGTGAAGCCTGTTGGTGAAATATTTTGTTACAGGACCAATGATCCACTACATTATGCGTGTCCTCTGTATGATACGCAGCTAAAATGTGTTAAACCAGCTAAACTAGTGTATTTAATAATTACACATTTACACGATTCGACTGTCAACGTGGTCAAACAACTGAATAACCTGTTAGCTAAATCGTTTTTCTAACTTTCTGGTACACACAGTGTGGTCCCTCTGAAATCTACCGCAAAAGCTGCCATTTTTCAGTGCACTCAAGGCAAATTTCTGGACGAGACAAAACAGAAGGAGGAACTTTGCAAACACATCCAAGATCATGACGGCTCTCACAGGAATTTATGTAGCTCCGGTTGATCCGTATACAGAACCTGTGAACACCAACGCCTTTCCACAACTTTGAGCTCAAACAACCTGATGGAGAATGTTAGGTCTAACTTATTTAACATTTATGGAACATTTACTCCAAACTAATTGACACCAGGTCAAAGAACTCATTGGTTTGGCTACTTTTTGTTGAGGTTATAAGAGTCAAATGTAAACTTTTTAAAGCAGCATATTGCATATCACAGTACACTAACCAACACAGTGCATTATTCTAAAAACGGAAGGCTAACTTGTCTACAATATATTCCTTAATATTTTATGTACTCGGTTCAAAAACGTTTTCGGAAATCATAAATATGGAAAGTGCATGCTGGTCTGTTCTGAGTCTGCTGTTCATCATTTCAGTATATTAAAAAAAACAGGTTAAAATGATTTAATGCATTGCAAATTCTAGCTTTTTATGTTGATTTTTAATATATTCAAGTTAATAAGACTAGTAGGTAGAGTGTACTCAGCACACTGTAGCTGATGCAGTTGATCTAGTGATAATGTACACATTATTTTTGCCCACGAACATTTGACTTATTAAAGAGCAGGTACGATTTAGGTGATTTTCTTCGGTACAGCCCTTCTTACAACTAGCATGAACTATACTTAAAACAAAGCATAGAACAGCTTTACTTCTCTGCAAAAACAAATATTAATCATAGGAGGAGGAGGAGTTAGTCTTTATTTTATTCTGTTCAGTGACAAAAGTGGTGTAAAGCAGTGACATTGAAAGGAAGGAATGGAAAACCTGATGTAGCCTAAATCTCATTCGGATAGCCAACAAGATCTTAACAACTCTACCTTAATTGACTTCTCTTAAAGAGGCTGTGGAAGGTAAAGGCGAAGAATCAGCTGGTGTCACCTCCATCAAGATCTAACTTAAGAACTGGGTCGTCAAATCCTGACTCTCCTCCAACTGACCATCAAGTTCACCCATCTTCACTCTCTACAGGCTTCCCACAAAACATGTAAAGGGGAGCCAGTTAAAAAAAATGTTGACCTTCAACTTGAGGTAAGCTTAATGCTACGATATTATATTGTATTTTAAGGATTAAATATACATTATTTAGTCTTATACCATCTATAAATGTGATGTTATTATTACTCTGTTGCAGCTCTTTGGCTCTAATGCTAAAACAACCTGAAGAAACCTTGTAAACTAATGCAACATGGGGCTTGGTGCGCAGTGGTCCTGAGGGAGGTATTATAGCTTTAATGCCATGTGAACAAAAAAGTGTCTTAGCATAAGCTGTTCCAAGCATCTCCAGCTTTTAGTGCTTACTAAGCACGATAAGCTAATGCACTCTTGTAAATCTGTCTGCTTACATATGTATATTTTGATGACAAAGCAAAACGAGAGTAATATAAATGCTTTGTGTGCTTTGTGTCTGCTGCCTGGTGAGATAGGATTAAATTATATATATCTCTAACATCTCTACCAAGAGACTCTTTCTTTTCTTTGCTCACCTTAAGGCGTCTGTTGGCAACGAGGTTGAGCTGCAAAGTTTGGTGGCAGCTTTAGATCCGAATCCTGAGAACAGAGACAAGACAAAACTTCAATAACAGAGACGTCCACACAGCACTTGTCAGTTTAAGTGTCTCTTATCTCTGGTAAGTATCTCTATGTGGAGATTTTGAGTGTTTGAGGGTGTTATCCTTTTCAAAATAAAGGCACAATAGCTCTTAATAATATAATTACATCTGCTTTATCCAAACATCAATGACACAACTAAACATAATACAGCTGTTAAGACAGAATTCGGTCTTGTGTACGACTGCACAACATGCACAATAAAAAACTTTTTCTGGAGCAGCATTAACTTCACCTTTGTACAGTAGATGAGCAGCCACTTTCACAGTGTAAGTATGAAAAAGTGCAGTCCACTGCAATTTTCCATGTACAGTTTTTCCAAAAATCTAGTGCGATGCCGTCCAGCACGTCATTATGATGGTCAACCAAATGTGTGCAAACAAGTGTTTCTGGTGCATTATGTTGTAACATGAACGATGTAACTCAGCCGTAGTCTTCCAAAGTTTAATAAATGTCTAATAAATTCCCTCTCAGGTCATTAACTCTAGAAACTCGTCTCTGTGCATGAAAATTACAAACTTAGGGATTTCCTCAACAAACCTAATCCATTCCTCTTAAATCAAACGGCTTCGTTTTGACTGTTGTTCTCTCTAGAATGTGCAGAGCTATGAAGTCAGTACCTCTTTCTCCACCCACCCCCTTGCTGTACCTGTGTGCACAAGCTCAACCTGCCTCTGCTCAAAAACATTTGTCTACACTACACAAAACCAAACACTAACATTGGATTGATTCAGCCATACATGTCTTGAACTGAAAAGAATGAAAAGAATTGTGGGATGCTGCCCACAAGGAGCCCAGCCCAGAGTCCGAAGAAGAATGATACAGAAATTCCCATCCTGCAAAACCCCAGAAGTCTAAATCCAAGTTTTTCACACTGCCATCAGTACGCTTGTAAATCTAAACATGCATAAACAACTTCTTAGAATGTATTTTACAGCCTTATATGCTTCTTTTTAGGTTGAATTTGACTTAAAAGTCTGGACAAATAACTGTCAGGGGTTTGTAGATTTGACACCAACTCGATCTACTAATGCAGGACCTTGATAGTTTCATCATGACCCTTTAAGTCTGCACAAAACTGCTAAAAGCCTGAATTTAGTGGTGTGACTTCCATTAATGTGTCCATTTAAAACAGGCTCTTTAAACTATTTAGCATTTTACAGCGATTGAGTTTGATTATTAAAACATTTAAATTAAAATTATCTTATGCTTTGTTACATTTAACCAACTGTGAGAGAGGGTTAGTCCGGGGATGTACTACCTAACAATTATTTATTCATGGGCTAGTATTAGTTGATTTATTTCCCCACAATAAATATCTAAACTTTTCCAATGAATATTTCAACATAATGTTTCATCCTTTAATAATCGCCATCATCTAATACCCCTGTGACTACTGTGGTATGATGTTAAGAATAATAATAGACCCTATTTGTCTCATCCCTGATCAGATCAATACTGGACCTGAAACTGAAAAGGCCACATAGATTAATTTAATTACTGTATGTCATAGCAATTCTTTACTTGAACACTTGACTTTAAACTTAAACTGGTTATGACATGGATTCACTTCATCACCGGAGTAATCCAGTTAAGATAATCATGGCAAAGCGTGGGAAGGAAAATATTAAAAAATGATTTGCAAAACTCTGACAACAGTCTGCAACTTTATGTCATTTTGTCAGTCATTTAATAAAATACAAAACAAAAACAGCTGAATGGCAATGTCAGATGATGCACGGTGTAACATCACCATAACAGCAGCGTGCAAAAGGTACGTGAAGAAACGTTTAGAAAAACAATTTTAAGTGATTACCAGGACCAGAACATGTTCCATGTCTTGATAACCCTAATAGCTTGTATCATGCTTAGCTGGGGACAAAATGTAAACAGGAACATTTTGTCTGTTGCTGCAGCCTCGACAAAGCGCTCCTGGCTGCTTTCACCACCTTTCAGATTTTCCATTTTTGCCACTTTTGTGTTCGCAAATGCTACATCATGATGGTATTTCAACATAAAAACAGAACTGAGTAGAATAAAGCTTTATAATAAGAAGTTACTCCACAGAAACTGCTTTTGTTCTTTCATAGTAAAACACCGACGATGTGGGCTTCAATTCTGAGAAGAAATTTCTGACCTTCCCGTGTGTCACCTGTCAAAAACTCCCGAAAGTTCACAATCAATCCCCAGTTGAGAGATGACCTCCTCACTCTCATGTCACAGCAACAGCAGCCTGTTGTAAAGTTGTATCCCAGTATAGGAGACAGATCATGTTGCTGCTCCAGACGCCTCCAGAACACCTCAGACTTATTTTGGCCTCCAGCGACCGTGTGGCAACACAGTGGAGGCTTTTGCACGACAGAAAGTGTGGATGTGAAAAGGTGTGATGTTGGTCAGGTTCAAGGGCTTCCCACGAGCTTGTGACAGGATGAAACCCAAGGCCATGTTTTGACTTCAGACATTAAGAACATTAAGCCAAAGCTAGAAATCAGCAAGGCCAGAAAGCTGGGACTGATTTTATAACTGCAGCTGAATAAATGTCTCCATCATGTACTCTCCTCTGGATATAAAACACTGATCCGAGATTAAAAATGTCTCCGACAACTTTGACACTCTATCTTCCGTCAATAAATTCCATCACCTCTAGCATTATTTCCTCTCCAATCCACTAACATTCAACATGTTTACAGCCACTGGGAATCTTGTGGAGCTGCATGTGGCTGTCTGTGACTTCACAAACAGACTTCCTCCGGTGGAAAGCCCCTTGTACTGATGTCAGTCTGGCTTTCCTTGGAAACGCCTGCAGGTTGTCAACAAAACAAGCAGCACAAGGCTCAAACCTGGCAGTGCCAGAGAGCAGCTTAGGCTGCTGACGGTCCCAAAGTGAGCGTGGTGAGGAGACGGATTTTCTATAAATATTCAGAGGTGCAAAATAGACTCCCTGACTGAGCTGGGCCTTTGCCTTCCACACAATCCAATGATACACCTTGTGATGTTTGTATTCCATGCAGAGTGCATTTACTGGGTAAAATGTCAGGAGGGTGGGAAAGACTCAAGAGATAGCACTGCAGCTGTTGAATATTAAGTGCTAAAAGACTTAAATCAATGTAAGAAATTTATATGCAAACATTACATATGTAAATCTTCTGTAGCTGTTTTTAACATCCAAAAACAAACAAGGATGAGGAACTCTTACACGTTATGAATCCTCATTTTATTCCATCCAACTGAGCGAATAGAAGCAAAATAACGACTCAACTAGGAAAAACTGAATTCTCCTGTTTACTGTATCACTGACTGCCACCACATGTGTGATAAACTGCATTCCAAGTCCTACAAACTAGTCTAGCGGCCACAAAACCAGACCAAGCGCTCCTCTTCCACAGGCCTTACCTTGGCCACAGGTTGGTTGCACATGATTCACATGGTAACTAGAGATCCATGGGTTTCGAAACATGTTTAGGAAGCAGAACAGAAGGAAGCCCTGCTGCTAGACTGCCCTCTGGTCGCAGCGCTGGTGGTGATGGTGATGGTGGACAGCAGGAGAAACAGCAGTGAAGACCCGGCGAGCCGACCGGCAGGGATGGAGGTGGCTTCACGACCACACACACACACAAAAAGACACACAGCTCCAGCAGAGCCTCGGCCACAAAGCGAGCCGCAGCCGACACAGACTGGCAGTAGTACAGTAAAGTGTGTGTTGGTGTGTATGACAGTGTGTGTGTGTGCGCGTGTGTGTGCGCAAAACAGAGCAGAGAGAGAGAGAGAGAGAGAGAGAGAGAGAGAGACAGCACAGCAGGGTGCTAAAGCAGCTCAGAGCCCTAATCAGATTACAGGCAGAAATTAGCCTTGATGATAAAAACTCTGGAACAGGATTGGAGGAGGGTGCCAGCAGGACTGCAGGGGGTGGTATGGGGTCCAGGGCGGCTGGAAGTCAGATGGTGGCTTAACACACGCATACATCAGGCTCGATTCTGCCAAGATGGCCCGGTGCCATCAAACTTCCCAAAACTAAAGCCAAATATTGCATTAATACTAATATCATTGTCAGTTTGTCAGATGGCTTCGCTGTAAAATGTTTCTTATTCTTGCAATTAAACGTCTAACAGAATCGTAAAATTCAAAGTATTAGGGGGAATATGATTCATTGTGGTTGTGAGGCTTTTACTGACATCGCTGCCAGTCCTGCTAGAGACTTTATTAAGGTGTCACATGTAAAGCAGTGGAGCAGTATTAATGATTTCCTGACATAATATTTTCTCATCAAATGCAACACCACTAGCATTGATATTAAAATTAAAGAGACTCAGGAGCAATGATTCCTATTAAAAAGACTACTCCTCATTGATGGGGCTGTAGATTATTCCAGTTGCTGCTATGTACTGTCTGGCTTTCTTCCTCATACTACACAACTCACATAAGCTCCGTGAAGCTCTGCCTCGCTCAGATGATACCCTGAAGTGCAGACACATTCAAACAGAGCGGGTAATCTCATCTAAGAAAACGACAAAAGCCACTTGTGTAAGTCATCACATCATCATATCAGTGAGACAAGTGAAGAAGGCAGAGCAGCCTGGAGGGCGCAGTGAGGCTGGATTACCCAGACCGACGTATGACGCAACAAAATCTAGAACTGCTCCAGAAACTGGTGACTTCTAGAGAAATAACTCATCTAAATACATGTTATGGGAAAGGAGGATGTGTATGTAGGATTGATGTTTCAAGCATTTACAGTGTAAAAGTTTTGGTAAGCAGGTGGCCAATTAAACAACCTCTAGCGCTGTCTCTCTTTCACTCATGTTAGTGAACATTTTGCAGACCAGTGCTGGTGAAAATCAATTTTATTACCTTGTTAACGTGTCCATATGGTGTTAATTATACGCTGGAGGATATATCACGAGCGAAACAAGCGGTCGGCACTACGACTGAACATTTCCACCCTTAAAACTGCAGCGTACCAAAGTCTCAAAGACACGGATTCAGTCTTACCTGGTTTCATATGAAACAGACCCAAAGAACGAATCATGTCAACTGGCAGGACTTTCTGTATCACTCTTCTTCTTCAGAATCTGTTTCCGGTTTAAACGTGTATGCCTGAATTACTCCGATATCAAAGTAGTTTTACAATGTTGAGCAGGTGAGCTGGTGTGCTGGAGCTGCAGCGAGTAGGGAAGAGGGGGTGGAGCAAGAGGCAGGGACTTCTTAATCTGCATAATCTGGAGGAAGCGATGTGTCGTGTTACAGCTAAGCAATTTTAAGATTTTTTTTAAAAAAGTGATTGTTTTCATGAAAAGAAAATGCCAAAAATGTAAGTGATAAACAGAGATGAGTAATCAATGGCTGGAGATGGACTTTAACTGTTTTTTAAGATAACAGTCACGTAAATCCAGCTGCAGCAGGTCAAAGTGCATATTTACATCTCATCACATCCCAAGTCTTGCATTAACAATGACGAAAAAAAACTCATATTGTGATAACCTGTTTGTAGTTATGCACCGTTTTTCATTTGTCCACCACCTCATACAGGTGCAACGGACAGATATCTTTTACAACAGCTGTAGCAGTACACAGCAGTTTGAATCAAATTTTGTTGAACACTCCTGACATTCTGTGGTTCTGCAATAAAAGCGGTAATTTGATGCTCTGCAGACAGATGCTGCTAGATATGACTGCAAGAGAGTAATACAATAAATCCTTTCTATTTTTGCTGTAACACATTAGACTGTTGCAAAAGCCACTTGTGCATCACACACAGAAGTAGAAAACATTCATAGTTTCTGCAGCCCTTCGATTGAGACCTGTTTCCTGAGAAGACGGAAAATGCCTCACAAGAGTTTCTAAACACTTCACAGTCATAAACTTTTGTTGTTTAGATGGCAGCCAGTCAAAGAGACAACAGCTCTTCACTCTTGTCACACAGTCTTGGAGTGTGTCTCGGTCTTGCTCACCACCTCCGTGTGATGCTTATTCTCACCCTTTCACATACAAACTCCCTCCTCCTTCCACCTTCCCCGGCCTGCCTCTGCTCCCTGTAGACGCCCCTAATAAGGCAACATGTGTTGTGAGTGGCTGCCTGGGAGAGAGGTCACCCTGTCAGCCAGCCGGCTTGTGTTTATCAGGGGACCGTCTCCACGCCTGCTCGCCGCTCTGCCTTGTTTTCTTTCCTTCTCGTTTTTACATTCCCCAGATTTGTCATCCCTGCCATCCATCTCGCGCTCTCCTCTGGCCACTCCCACTCATTCCTCATGTCCTTCTCGCTCTTCTCCTCTTTCTTGCATTTTATTGTGTTTGTCTGTCTGTTGTCTTTTCTCATCTGTTTGCATCTTAACCCGTCTCCGTCACTCTCATTGCACTCTTTACCCCTCCCTTTCTATGCCACAGCAACAAACAAGACACAGTTTTGCCACTTACTCTCTCTTCCATGCAAATTTATCATTTCAAAACAAGCCACAGGTCACTCATATGGCTTTTCTTAGAAGTAAACCACACTGGCATAAGACATAAAGCCTTCCAAGTAACTAAATTAAGATGGACTGTGTGGGGAAGCTGATGACAACATGGGAACTTGTGTCAGACATCGTGTCCAGTACACAGCTTTAAGATCCTCTTTTGTCATCCAAGTTGTTAGTAAATAGATTACATACGATCTCTAATTTCAGTGAGAGATATATTTCGCACACAAAATATTGACGATCTCGGTACTCCATCAAGTTGTCACATTCTCATATAGAAATATTTTACATTTTTAAAAAAAACATGACTGCTTTGCTTTTCAGATTGAAATCTTCTGGCAAAAGTTTATCTGCCAGAAAATCACAACTAAAGCGCCTGCAGCTTGTTATCGTGCACCACCCCGGCTGTCAGGCGTACAACTCTGTCAAGCAAAGCATTGTTTAGCCATCAGCTACAAAAAAATAAATAAACAAAAATACTCTGCAAAACTTGCTGTGACTTTAACTGTCACATAGTTTGTTGCGTCAAAGACAAAATGTGAAACTTTGCGAAACATCTTCAAGCTGGAGCACAGGATGTACGAAGCGGTCATGCGCACATCAATAAAACTCAACACCCAGGACATCATGTAAACACCACAAGGCGAGGTATCTTAACAAATGCCTGCGTGACTCAACATCAAACCATTTTTCTGCTAATCAAACCATGAAGCTCAACAGCTTGCTGGACATAGAGTTTCAGCTACATGTGAAGTTTTTCCTACAGACACTGACTCCATAGGCTCTGCTGTTTCAGTCTGTCCCGATACGTGATCGGCATTATGAGCGCAAACTTCTGTTTAAGCCTCAAGACTTAAAACAATGTCACACAAATAAGTCATCAAATCCAATGCAGAGGACATTCAGGGAGCAGCAGATGTTCGTCTGTTGCCACTTCAGAAGACAAAAAGAAAAAATATGAGAGATTCACCAAGTATGTGTTTGTTGGAAGAAGAAAAAAATCAGCCTCAATTAAACACAATAGTCACAATATTAACCACAACAAGACAACAGATAAATCTGGACCCTAGTCATCAGAATTGGGGAACCTAATAAACAGATGTTGTAGATGTGAACGTTTATTTCATCAGAAAGTGATCTGAAACATTCTCAGTATCAATTTTTTACTCAAAAACCTGCGGGATGTACACCCATCCATCAGCCACAACATTAAAACTGCGGTGATGAACACTGATTGTCTCATTACAGTGCAATGTTCTGCTGGGAAGCTGTGAATTCTGGTATTCATGTGCATGTTACTTTGACACATGCCGCTCACCTAAACATTTTTGTAGAACAACAACTTAGCACTCCTAAACACCAGCAGCCTCCCCCAACCTGCCACATTGCACAAACTGCTCCGGAATTGCTCGAGGAACATGACAAGGAGCCAAAAACATTGATCTGATCTCCAAACTCCAAATGAGCATCCACAAGATTTGATTAATTCACGGAAGCCCAGTCCCACAACCAACAGGACCTGAAGGATCCACTGCAAAATTCACCACCGGATACAGTCAGAGGTCCTGTATTCATGGCCCCACAGCACAAGGAGAAGCCGACACAACATGAAGCTATACCGCTGTTTTCATAGATGCCCTTGTACAAATGATTTTTCTACTAGATTTTTATATTTTATATTTGCACGTTTCTTAATGTACTTAGTGTCCTTCGAAATAAAATGTCAGATTTTGTGAATGCATTACTCCTGACAATAAATGATAATAAAGGAATCCTATTCTAGACTATCAAGCTAGCGGTTTCAATGCCGTGGCTCATCAGTGAATGACTAAATGACCTTGAAAAATATGTCAAGACCAGATGTGTTGTTAACGAATTTGTACTTTTAACAGATTAATCCAAAATCATTGTTATTTTTAAAGGTCATCATACTGAAGGAGCAGTCGGCATTCAGTCATTCATGTGCTCAAAGGGAACTTCTAAAAACTGGCCTTATTCTTAGGGAATAATGAATTTATTACATCAGATGTGAACTTATAAGATTCTTCTCTTCTCTGCATATTTTTAGCAGTAATGATTTCATTAGTGATAAAGGTTGTGCTAACTCAGTCAACATTGTC